AGGTAGCCTTTTTGAAGGGATTCATCAGTCATTCAACGAGGCAGTACTACTGCCATTTCCTGATTTCGACAAGCCATTTGAAGTCCACTTGGACGCAAGTGGCACACAAATTGGAAGGATGATCATGAAAGAAACAAAAATTGCTGCTTGCTACTCAAAACCCTCACCAAGCATCAAGTCAACCACACGGTGACATAGCCCGTACTACTCTCTATCGTGGAGCTCCTGCTTGAGTATAGAACCATCCTTTCGGCTTTCTCGTTATCATTCATACTTATCACAAGAACTTAATCTAGTCGATCGAGATAAGCTTACGAGTCAAGCTATAGAAGCTTTTACTTGCTGCGTACCAATTTAAGATGAAGTACATCAAGGAAGAAAAACACGTTGGTGCAGCTGCGTTTTCGCGAATGAAATTTGACACGATTTGAGACAAGTCTCCCACCAGCATATCTTACGAAGTCTGTGCACTTACAACAAAGCACGAGTGCGTAACGCACGGACCAGTCTTGCGATACCACAAAGGAGTAGATTTTCTGCGTCAGAATATGAAGGACGCGTGGCTCGCTGAAAACCACAACCTAAGTTATCAACTACTACCCTTACTAGGCTGCACATTAGTGGCTGACAAAATGTGAGTTGTGGTTCCTGACAACCTTCGAGAAAATCTTATCACCTGGTACCACCAACATCTCGGGCATTTCGCAAGCGACCGTCAATACAATACAATGATACAGTATCTCTATTAGCCTGGCATCAACTCAAATATCGAGCGCTTCATACGCACATGTGTGACCTGCAAGCGAGCAAAACTTCATGGAGACAAACAGTAACATGGACTACTACCGCCTCGTACACTACATTCAGCCAACTCATTTGATGTGGTACATGTGGACTTCATCGGCCCGTACTAACATGGAAAAAACGGTGTAATGGTTACCGATCATGCCACCAGCTGGCTTGAAGTCGGGGTGCAAGACAACAAGAAAGTCTTAATCACAGCGGAAAGCTTCTATCGTGGATGGCTATGCAGATACCCTCATCCACTAAAGTTCGTCCAAAACCTCGGGACGAGTTTACCAGCTAAGAATTTTAAGAAACAGTATGCAGCAATGGTAACAATATATAAGCTACCTACCTCAACTAATCCTTGGGCAAACACCTTTTGTGAACGCGTACATTTGGGAATGTTAGACGTAATCCGAATGTATACACAGACTGGACAAAAGGCATCTATTATGCGGCATTTGCTATACGAGTGAGCTACCATAGCATTCTAAATGCATCGCCCTGACAAACGATCTTCGAACAAAACACGATTTCTCGACAATTACACTATGCCAACTGGCGCATACTCTCCGAGCGCAGATTGAAGCGATTCTTGCTGACAACATACGTGGAAAATACGCATCGACTTGGACACTTCTACAAGCCAGGAGAACAGTCTATGCTTCGCGTCGAGAAACGAATCCGCGGCAAGAAAAAATCGCGGATGGTCCATACCCAATCATGGCCGCACACAGCAATCGGATCGTAATCCTAAACAAGAGAATCACGCAACAACAAGTTCGCATCCACCAAGTGTTCCCGTGCTAACAGATATCTTCGCGGGGGATTATAACATCACCAGCATGTGACATGACCGCCATCATACATTACGGTACTACGTCATCAAAGTTAGTACTTGCCGATATGCTGGAGACGAAAGAGGGACGTACTGGCGACACAAGAAGCACATTCTGGCGATGTAAGAGGTATTGATGAAAAACACCCATAGCGCATTCGTAAACTTCTAAACCCTAATTCATTTAATTCATTCCCAGTTTTATCTTCTCCTTCCAAGGTTCCTCTCCAGCAGGAACCCTGCAACAAACCGCACGTGTAACGGGGTAGCCCGTTACATGATATTGACACCAAACGGTGTCAATAGGGAGATTGTCTAGCGTGATAATTCCCTGCCAATATTACCCGAGATGGATAACATTGAAGGAATATAATCCCCTACTAGGATAATATTCATGCGCTGCTCAAAGATTGCTTCATTAAAGGCATATCAACCAAGGTTACCACCAACCGCTGCTTGACGTGCGTAATGAGTGATGAGCAGGTTGTCGTCACACGACAATGTAGATTAATCGATAAAGACTGAAGTTATATTGATAGCTCAACTCTATTAAATACAGTTCTCTTTTTACCTTTTACTTAGACTAGCTGTTTGAGTAGATTGGCTTCCTCTGCACGTACTAGTGTACGTGAAGTTTCGTGGCACCAGGACAAAGGGTGCCCCGTTACAGCACGCCCCAAACCGCGAGCGTGTCATAGCGTTCCTTGCACATACATGTTTGGCATTTTTACACAGGCGACCTGCTGATTAAATCACGCTGGTATTTGGTGCGACATGGGTGTATCTGGGTCATGTGGTCCTGCCGCACCAGTACGACTCCGCGTCTCATTCGTGGGCATTAAAATTGCAAGATGTGTGGTGATACTGTCAATAGTTACAAGGTCGCGTTATATGTATCAACATGTTCAGATCTATTGTCGAGTATAGACAGCGACGTTAGTATATACTATTTGCGTGTGTCTATAATATCTGTACAACTACGGTCTCAAAGATTTCTGTTACATGGGTCATCACTGGTCAGTGGGAAACAGAAGCTATGGACCATGTACCCTATCCGACCGTCGTCGAGGACGTTCTATCACTTAAAACACTCGACGAGCTTTCTAAGAAATCCAAGCGGCCTCCCTATACAAAGCGCATGATCCTTCTTTATGTGTACAATGCAAAGCTATGCCAAGTGTGGAGAAATCGGGCGACCAAAACGCACAAGTAACACTGTCTGCACATAGATGGCATGTGATGATCTGTACTGCACGCCGATAAAAGATACACTAACAGCGAAATACTGATGACCGCAAGCTGACTCATTCGTTCTAGATTACACGTCTTCGGTTGTATCTTGGCACGCCTTGACCTCGAACCTCACCAGTTGCTACACTTTTTTCTTCTTGCGGAAGGTCAGAAGGGACCTCGTGTCACATTAAAAAGAATTGTTGGCGTCTTGCACGAGAGAAACAGCGGGTTAATATTGTTAAAGTGGCAATACTGCGTCGTACGACATGGTTCTGTAAGAAGTCGAGTTCGTCTGACTGTGGGCATGTCATCATGTGATCATTACCGCTGTTATCCTGATGTAGAATCTACATTTATCCCCAGAGTGTGTCCAGTGAGCTTGATGGTGCCCCCTGCCACGAAAAATGCCCAAGTATATTTGTTCGGTACCCTTGATCGGCTCTGTAGTGTGAGCTGCAACGGTGTACGCATTGCTTCTACAGCGTGCAGATGCAGATGTTCCCTTAGAAAGGCTGTCGTCCATAAACCCATTACGAAGATCTTGCGAAAAGTGTACGATCTGGAACGTGACAGTCTCGTCGTGCAGTCAGTTTTTAATCTTGTATGGAGAAATCGATTGCACTGATTGCCAGTTGAGCAAATTGATCGCTGCAGCGTAACGGCACAGTACGAAGTCGAGTACTTATCAAACCTGAACCACCCATACGGGTGAGACCATAGCAAGAATATGCAATATGGTAAAGCACAATCGTCAACGCACAGCATCGCTACGAGATACCTGGCCGTCAATCTGAAAAAGTTGATGACTAATTATGACGCTGATAAGCACGACAAGCATCTCGACGCTTGTCTGCACAGCGCATCCGTTCCTACATAAATTCCTGTGGTGCTTCAAGTTTTCCATCCTTGACATACACGCACACGTTGAATCACAACGCCAGCCATCTCCCCGAGCTGAGCGATGTGTAAATTCAGCACTGGAGGAAGTGCTCACCAGAGAATAACACCGAGCCGACTCCTGCCTGGTCCAGCATTTACTTACCAATGCACAATTTACTGACGCAGCAGCCTGAACATCCGAAATGCTCCGACAGAGCATTTAGCATTGGTGTGCTACAGGATAGCCACTCATTCCTTAAATGTGTAAAATCCGGGAAGGGATACCGATTCAGTGTGTAATAGGCCTATCACCTCCTTGGGCAGCACGAGTGATTTCTTGCGTATCCCTCGGGGCTGAGCTAGGTAAACAAGGGTTGGACATATAGCATACCCAGTGGACAGGACCGTGCTCTATGCACCGGCAGAAACATACAAGCGATCGACGCCAGAGCTAGCTTGCTCCGTATGCGAAACCACGATATGGATCCAGCGGATAAGGACCGTAGATCCCCGAGAATGTGCATCCGCCGAAAACGAGGTCGCGGAACTTCAACCGGTCCCTGTCGACAACTACGCGCATGAGCAATCAGGGATCCCGGCATAACCGAGATCAGGAAAGAGCATCTACTTAAGTCTCGCAGCAAAATGTACCACGATAGCATTACAAACTAGCAACTGGCTAAGCAAACCTTTGGAGGTATTAGGAGCCAGCTCATCCGGTACCAGAGCAGCTGAGGACATATCTGAAACATCGCTTCGCCAACATCTTCTGGACCTCGTGATGCTCCAAAGTCGAATTTACCGCGTCCACGCCATTCAATGCCAATCAATTGAGTCCCAAAAGGTCGCGCTCTAGCGTGACATCCCATCGCTAAATAGCCGCCTCTTGAGCCAGTCAAAGTGACCACACAAAATCCTAAGTATTAGCGGTGCAAGTGACCGCATCTTTTGTGGTGTTATCATACAGCAAATACTGTCAAAGGTTCTCCATCGCCGTGGTTCTTGGTGTTATGTTCGTTCGACTGTGTACGCGTACGAACGAAAACGAGGTCAATGATTTGGTCCGCAATACCGATCCCAGGTGTCAGTTTCCAACCTGTAAGCGAGATATCCCTAACTACCTACGACTGGACATCGAACGTCCATGCAAAGCGCGACTAGTTTTCGCAGTGTCTTACTGGATGTCAGCATAAAAATCAGACTTGGCGCTTTGTCCGACGTCGGCTGCTTCATTCGGATACTTTCCCCTCTTGTCCATAACGTCATGAAGGCATGCGATCCCAGCCTCGGAGGTGTCTTGTTCCTATTCTTAATGCCGGTTGCTGCTTCTGAACCACTCCCACCAAGTGTGACGTCGCTCATCAATTCCTCAATCGATCCGTGTGACGATTTCTACCACTATTCCTGCGGTGCGTGGCTCGCTACGCACGAAATGCCAGTAAGCAAAGCAGTGATAGAGTATTCCTTCACTCAAGCACAAAACGCAACGGATACAGTACTGGAACAAGCATTTGCCAAGAACTCGTCGTCTTTGACTGGAAAACTCTACGCGTCGTGCATGAATATGGACGCGCGCAATGCAATTGGGGCTCAACCACTGCAGGAAGGAGTGCAGAGTATCTTGAACGCTTCAAACAAACGGGACCTTTTTCACGTAGCTGGACGTCTTGCACGCACTGGTGCTGATTTCATCACCAATTTCGCGCCAGATCCAAGTCTCTCCAACGCGAGTCACAACATCCTTTGGATCACTCATGCTGACTTGACACTGGACGACGAGTACTATCGCAATCCCAAAGTCCTCGAGCATGTGGGGACGAATATGTCGCACTATGCGTCAACGATTCTCCAGTTGACGGGGTTTTATTTAAACAAGACAAGTGAGTACGAGAACTACGGAGACGTGGTACTGAATGTCGAGAAACAGCTCATTGAGCTCCAACTGTACGCGCAGCTCGACCCATCCAACTCGAGTGCGTACTATTTGTTCACATTCGAGAAAGCAGCAGAGAAGTACCCACTTGTGTTTGGTGCGTACGCAGAAGGCATGCGACTGTTGGAGGATGGTCCAGCACTGACAAAAGACACTCTGGTTGCTCTACAGAGCCTCGCCTACCTTGAAAAGGCCGAGGAGTTCGTGTCGCTTATTTCACTCGATGCACTCAAGGTGTATGTGGCGTTCATCTACATTGACAGCTTGGCGCCGTACCTTAGTGCACCGTTCATAGATGCACGCTTTCAGTTTTTCCGTCAAGCAATGCTAGGAGTCGAGATACCGTTGCCTCTGGAACGAAAGTGTGCAGCTGCTGTGGTCAAACTCTTGCCCGTACACGCCGGTGCAGAGTATGTAGCACATCGTGAAGATATGAAAGAAATGGGCGAAAGGTTTATCGCAATGCTTGATGAAATCTTGGATGCCATGAACAGCAGTATCAGGACGCTCGAGTGGCTGGACGAGACAACGCGGAACAGTGCGCTGTCAAAGCTTGGCACTCTGGAAGTCATGTACGTCCAGCCTGATGCTGTGCAGCTCGAAAAAGAAGCAAAATGTCTAGCCCAGTTGGACAACACTGCCTATTTTGCCAACGTGAACTTGATCCACTCGGCTCAGTACGTCGCTCTCACTTTGGATATCGAGGCGAGTGTGGATCGCAGCGACTGGGGAATGAGTGCCGCGTCGGCGAATGCGTACTATTCGCCTCGTAAGAACCAAATCGTGTTTCCTGCCGGTTTAATGCAGCGGCCATTTTTTGAGTTAGACGGCAGAGCAGCTCAGCTCTTCGGGTCTTTGGGCACTGTCGCTGGGCATGAGATATCTCACGGTTTCGATAACTCGGGCTCTAAATTCGACGCCAAGGGCAACTACAACGTGTGGTGGACAAACATGACTGCTACAGCATTTGAAACGCGTTCGCAGTGCTTGGTCGACGAGTACAACCAATTCTCTGTTGAAGCTGAAGGCGGCGTGAAACTCGTCCCAGTAAATGGCAAGAAAACATTGGGGGAGAATATTGCTGACAACGGTGGCTTACGCGTGGCGTTCAATGCGTACAAAAAACACGAGGTCTCACATCGAAGCGGCCAGAACAGCTGTGACATCAGCATCGACGACCAGCTTTTCTTTCTGTCTTTTGCACAGACATGGTGTGGCAAAGTGCGCGAAAAGACGGCTGTGAACTCGTTCCTTACGAACGTGCATGCAGGAAGCGAGGTGCGTGTCAATGGTGCAGTAATGAATAGCGCTGCATTTGCTGAAGTGTTTCGTTGCCCTGCGGGTGCCCCGATGAACCCGGTCAACAAGTGTGTTTTGTGGTAAGTAATTGTATCGGGGGTCGCGCAAAGCATTTCACTCGTATCAATCGAATGCAATGAGCATCTTTAGCCCTCTTCGTTTGTTGTACATCTATCAATTGAGACATGAGCATGCAATGCCTGTACCGATCGATTAATGTGGAGATCACCGTGATCGGTGATAGCGGTATCATGGCGTTGAACGTAGTGTTTGGTGGTCGCAGAAGCTGAGATAGTGAAGAAGTCAACTCTCAAGTGATAGTTTCCAAAGCTCTTTATTTGCTGTCGAGTCATGTGCTCGTGAAGTTACGAGAAGGTTGTGACTCATGTGACGATCTGAAAGCTGTGCACGCAAAATGAAGATACTAAATCGGTGTAGACTGTCAAATAGTGAGTCTTGCCAATACCGGATTATGCGTCTGCTTCAAAGTAGAGGAATGCTGAGGCAAGAACGAGCGTAACGAAGCTCATAACTAATGTCGTCGTCTCGACAACAAGTTTGGAAACTTGCACTAGCAAGTCTAGCATTGCAATCCGTATGATGTGTGATCGTGATGTGTCAATAGATGGCCAAAGGGGCGAGTGGGAAAATGTCAGCAGTGGGCATTTGTGACGATTGCTCAACCTCAAGATCGAGCACTAGCTTCAAAAGCAAATCGACAAGCTCCATAAATTCATGGCATGTCGACATGAATTAAAGTTACCACGGATACAGCTGTGCGAAGTCGATGCCTCGATGATCACCCGACTCGGAGTCGTCAGATAAACGACGAGTAGACGCTAGAGCGACCATTTTGACACAGTATGATGACTATTTGCTCGGCGTTTGTAAGACCTTTTACTCGGCACTTGCTATCGATTCAAGGTCAAAACATCCAGCTTGGCGCTGATGAGTCCACAAGCTCAACCACATCGTGAAGCTAAATCATGGATAAATAGTTATGGTGTCGACACGTCGATTGCAACGAAGGTTTGAATTCCTGTCTAGCTTGTATTGGTCAGCGTCATGAAATATGTATTCCTACAGACCCTCCTGCTGAATCTGGTCCATGTTCAGCGTCCGTACCAAGTGTGGTGACTACATTCGGGGAATTTGCATTGAAGGACTATTATTGTGCTTGTTCGTGAAGCTTTTATAGCGTCTTTAACGACGTTTTTCCCGAATAACATGGACCTGGAGAACTCACATTAGATCATTGCATGGACCTCATTATATTGCAAATAAGTCGGAAGTGACAGTGCCGAAGCGTTGAGAAGTGAGACCTTTGCATTGGGTCGTAAGAAGTCGTAAGAAGTCGCAAAAATAGACATCGGACGCTCCTGCATTTTTCTGGATACCTGTATGCTCCAAGTTGCAGAATTCCTACCGTAAAATTCACGTTTGTCATCATAAATGTCACGGAAATGTGTGCTAAAGCCACTTGGACCCACAAGTCGCGACTTTGCTGATACCACATGGTCGACCTGCAATCGTCGATTCACATGTGGTCCCTCACATGCATCATCCAGTATCAGTTCTTTTACTTTCAAAATTTGCTTTCATCGTATACGGCTGAAGAAGTACAAAAGCAAGCATACGCTTCCTACAAACAATAAGACAGTAGAAATAATACGACAACAGTCGACTCCGATGTTTTTCCAATCATGCAACCACTCCTTCATGTATTCTTGTGTCCACCACACCAGCCGTGAAAAGTGTTCAGCACAGGACGCAGTGGCGTGCTTCCCGCACACCAGTGCCACACCAATCCAATTCGTCTCCGCCAATCCCCGCATCGGAGGAAAACGTACTTGTCGTGCGTCGCTCGTCCCTTTGACTCTTCAGTCCTGATCTTCGTCTTCCTCCACACATACAAACACCCAGTCAGTCAATCAGTCCGTCACATCGCCCAATACAAAGCTCAAGACATTTATCCACTCAAGTCCCGCTCGACAAGTCCCTCAATTCCAAAACCGACATCGCTGCTCAACCACGAACGTCTACGTGTATACGTACGTATACATCCTCGATAACCCGCAGCAACCGGCATGCACGCAGGGAACTCCCCGATTGGTGAGAATGCTGGCGAACGCACGAACTCGAACGTGTGGCGAGACACTTCTGAAGCCGAGATCTACGGGAGTTATCTCGGCCCTGGGAGTGAAGTCCCCATGATGCGGCCTACCATGGCTGCTCGACCCAGCACGAGCATCCATCACGACATTTCTGTGGGCCAATTGGACGACCCGGGTCTTGCCACCGGCACGGGCCCGGCGAAGACGTATACCGGCCGCAAAGTCGTGTGGCCCGGTGCCCTTTTTCTGCTCCTTGTAACCGCCGCCGCACTGAGTTTGATTGCGTATTTTGGTATACAGGAGTATACGGCCGCTCAGACGCAACAGGCACTAACAGAGGAGGTCACGGATGTCACTCGAGCGAGGAAGAGGAAGAGCACTAGTGTCAAGAGCTGTATGCTGCCGGATTACATAGCCGCGGACGGCAAGATCTATGCCCAAAACAGCTTCACTCGCAAGAAAGAGCCGCTCGTGTTTACGGGAATCAACTGGAGCGGCATGGAGAATGCTGAAGGTGTGCCCCACGGCCTTGCTACGAAGCAGAGCTACCTCGATGATATTGCCAAGAACCTGTCGGATAGCGGCTTTAATGCCGTGCGTCTTCCATTGAATGCCCAGATGATTATTGACAACACGGCTCCGAATGCGAAACTTTTTGTCAATAGTCTGGACACGGACTTGAATGTCGATACGTACATTGACATGATCAAGAAAGTTGTGCAGGGCTTGGGCAAGCAGCAGATTGGCGTGTTGCTGGATATTCACAAGATTGACCCGAACTTCACGAACGACACGTCGGAGCACTTGTGGTTTACCGACGCCTACCCGATCACGAAGATTTACGAAATGTTTGAGACCTTGGCGTCGGAATTGTGCAGTGATCTCGAGTACAACATTGTTGGCATTGATCTGAAGAACGAGCCGGTGGGTGGCTGTTGGCCCAAAGATGACAGCGACGACTACTGCGACCCGGATTTCAATTGGCCGCGTGCTGTCGAGACGATTGGTAACAAGATTTTATCCATCTGCCCCAATTGGCTCATCGTAGTGGAAGGCAATTACGCTATCGGGACCACATCCGAGATTAATGGGGCGAACTTGACGTACAATGATTGGTACGGAGCGAGTCTGCAGAACGCCAGCGTGAACCCGATTGTCCTCGCCATGGAAAACAAGCTCGTGTATGCGCCGCACTTTTACTCGCCTAGTGTGTATCCGTCGTCGTACTTCTTCAAGAAACAGTCCTCGAGCGGTAGCACTGTGTCAGTGACCGAGTTTCCCAACACGGCCGAGGGCAATAAACTACTGGAGGGTGCTGTGACAGCTGTGCTTGACAACGCCTTTGGTAATGCCGTGACAGCAACGGGTATCCCGACATTCTACGGCGAGTTTGGCGGTATATATGGCACGGCTGAGCTGCTTGAGGGGCACACGAGTACGCGTACTATCGATATTCTGATCGAGTACGCAAATACAATGAACATGACGGGTGGTTTCGTATGGGGTCTCAATCCCGATGGGGCGTACGACTTTAACAACGCGTACCAGCCCGACGATCCGTGGCAGTATGGTTTGTACACGGACTCGACGTGGGAGAAGTTCCATACTGACTTTGCCACTAGCCTACAGAGTTTGAAGGGTAGCGGTCCGTTTCCTTGCTTTATGAAGACCACGATCAAGACTTTCTCGACGTCCGGTAGTGGAAGCGCCACTATCACCGCGGACTCGACTACTGATACTACGACTGCAAAGACACCGACGACGGGGACGGCTGCGGCTCCAGTTGCTATAGGAAGTCCTCCCTCGTCTCCTACTGCAGCTGCCACTACTCCTGCAGCTCCTGCCACTATTCCTGCAGCTCCTGCAGCTCCTGCTACTCCTGCAGCTCCTGTTGCTGCTGTGAAGAAAACGACGACATCAACGTCAGATGCGACGGCGACTGCGTTGTAGAGTGGCCAAGTTTGCGACAGACTTGGGTCTCAGCGACCGAGCTGGTGCTACGGTGCAGTGCTTGCTTCCGACTCTGTAGTGTAATCTCTTTGTAGCCTCATCACTTTGCAATCAGCGAGATGCACGTGCTCTTTTTTCTTCAACACGAGCACTGCTTCACAAAATAATCAGCGCTTGAGGTTAAACCATTCACGCAAAAGAAAAAAGAGCATTGCAAAATGACTAGCACCAGCACGAACCAAGCGTCCCAGCAGTACGTCCGTACAGCTCCTCTCTCCTTCTTCACCTCCCTCCCTTCCTTCCTCCGAAAACAACAACACTCGATCGTCCATCCACTCCTCGTTCCTCACGCCGCCTCAATCTTCATCTTCTTGTGTCGTTGCTGCCTCTCCTCCTCCTCGGCACATGCGCGCTTGATCGAGGCATTCTTCGCCAGCAGTTCACAGCACGTGCGCTGATACTTGTGCAGCTTGACGCCATTGCGTTCCTGATCGTCCTGTCGCGCTCGATTCACTTGATCCGACCCGAGTTTCACCTGCTGCACCGCGTGCGTGTACCGCTTATTCACGCCGTCCAGCACAGCAGCTCGGACCTTCAGTAGATTTGTACCATAGCTCTGGTACAGCTCCAGATTCAGCACTCGCGTCTTCTCGTGTTCCACAGCCACTTGGAGCTGCTGAAGAGCGTGTTCCCATGCTTCAAGACTCGCCACGTGCTTCCCCATTGGCTCCCGCACTTGGTACCGGTTCATATCAATAGCGTCCAGAGGTACATTGGCCATGACACGCTTAAAGTCCGTCTGGAGCCGCTCGTGGCCGCTAAAAGACGGCAAAGAAGACGACAAGGAGGAGGAAGAGGGGAGAAAGCCCAAGTACTTATCGTCCGGGGGCGAGAACGTCGCCATCTCGGCGCGGATTTGCGCCTGGACTTGCTGCTGATTGGCTGGAGAGTTGTACTCGGTATCGACGTAGCCCAGCGAGTCGATGAGCGCGCGGCTGGAGGCGAGCAACGGACACGTCGAGGGCGCCATGGGACTCGCACGGAGGTGATGGAGAGGAATGGGAATTTGTGTGGTGGACACAAAATACGGACCTTTGGTGGTTATTGTAGGCGGAAATGTCGGTCTGACCCTTGTTTTGGTCGTTTCGAGTTGCTCATTTTGTGGGGGAAAAGGTGTATTTGACGGGAATTGAGTCAAGGCGCTTTCATGGGTTTTGGTAGAAGGGTCGAGAAATGACGACTGGATAGAGCCAATGGTGGGTTGTCGCTAGAATCCGAGATGGAAAGTAGGTTTGTATTCTGAGTGTGTTTTTTGTGGGCAGAGTCCAGCTGAGTAACTACTATGTGGTTCTCGCCCGAGCTTCTTAGCTCGCGAAACTTTACTTTGCTGTGGCTAGTGCGATGATGACGTACGGCACTTACGTCTATGTGTTACCAGCTATGATGTCCCGAGCTTGTTGAATCTCTCAACCAGTTGACGCCATGTCTTTCGATTTTGTATCAAGACCATCACGTCTTGTGACGTTTCCAGCAACTAACTCAACGTTTGTTTGCACGAGGTCGTCCAAGTACACTCCTTCTTCTTGACCTTGATCATCCACCGCCAATTCAACCTGTACAATGCCAACAATTTGGTTATAGCAAAGCAGGTTTCGTCTTTGCTTCCATCTTGGGATTGAGAGGCTCTCTTGTTGCCTTCATCACAAGATGATAAACCGTTCATCTGCAACTTTGTTGCAATATGCAATCAGCTAAGTCGCTACGCATGAACATTGAATGTGATGTTGGTGGGGTTATTTCCTCCGTGCGTGACTCGAGTCGACGCAGGAATAGTGTCCACCAGCAGCAGAGCAGCTAAGATTGAGGTCGTCTTTTGCAAGAACTAAAGAGACGTGGGGGAGAAGAGACCGAATACCTTCATCACCTTTTAGGTAAATGATCATGGATCCCGTGATCCCGGTGTTACGTCTCCGTCGGTGGTACAACAGAGACGAACGCTAGTACATGGGCGCGACGAACTCCCCATTGTTTTCCAGTCAATAATAATCAAGTCGCCCTCTACGAGGCCCCCATCAATCCCCCTCTCTTTCTCACCGCATATTCTGCCTTTCGTATCGCACAGGACGTTAACACACACTGTTGATCCACTGCGTATAGGACCACAGCCATCGTCTTCGTGCCCTAGAATCCAGCACACTCTTACCTACAAGAACATGCATACTTCGATGTATACCAACCTCCACAATAATGTATGTGTAGGCGGAAGCTGTCATGTGAGACCCTCCATATCGCATCGTTATTGTACCATCTTTGACAGGGTTTCAAGCGTGTCCATTCATTTAAACAATGCTCGCTAAACAATTGACACGCGCGAGCCGTTTATTGCGTCAGCCATCGGCGCGCTCCGTGGCCACGGCAGACAAGTCGGCCAAGACATCTCCTCGTGTCTATAACAAGTCGCCCGCGTCGCCTACGACCCCGAAGTTGCGCAAGAAAAAGACGTTCCAGTTCTCAGATAAAGACGCTAAACCGACGACGCCGCTTGAGGAATTCGCGTACCCGTCGTACTGGGATGTGGACTACCCATCGGACTTTGACAATGACATGAAGCACGAGGTGGAAAAGCTGCAGATCTTTGCGGATTTTACGCCGTACTTGGACTTGTCGTGGCAGCAGCAGATCCATCTGCTGTTTGATGGTGCACCCATAAAAATGACGCTCAACTGTCCGCTCGAGGACTTTGACGAGCGGCTTTTTATTGATGACAAGAATACGTACGATACCAAGGTGATCATGGAGGTGCCGATGACGTGCTTTAAAGGGCTGAACAAGGAGGCGAAGGACCTTGTGGCGCAGCTCGCAGGTCCGCGCTACAATGCCAACAAGAAGATGATCAAGATCACTGAGGACCGCTACAATACGCGCGTGTTCAACCATAAACGGATTTGCGACATCCTGCGTGACCTCACTCAGACAGCACTCGAGCTGAGTGGACAGGCCGAAGAAAGTGACGAGTGCAAGAAGGAGGACAAGTAGAAACTCGACAGATGCTCCTGTGGTTCGGGATCCGTAGCCGATGTACGGATCGCTACGTTGCTGGATGGATCGATGCGTCCTCGTCCTAGTATCTTGCAGTATTTGCTTCTGGAGCAAAGGTACAAGACACATATGTTGTGCTCGATCAGGCAGCGGTCGAGGAATAGATGACGGCGGTGATGATGCTGACAACAGCATAGCAACCGACCGATACAAACAGGCAATTCAGTCCTCGAGGCGCTTTTTCCATATCGTGCTAAGCTTTTTTTGTGTGCAGTAGACGACAACGATCACCCTCACTGTCCGCCCAAAGATGTTCTAAGAATCCTGCTGCTGGGGTACCTATGAAGTTCACGGCGTCCTCATCTCTCAGGTTTGATCCTACGCTCGTCCATCTGTCCGTCCATTCGTCAGAGTCCTTGCTATCCTGTTGCTGTCCAGAAAGCGCGTCCGAGCTAAATCCTGCATACGTACGAACTGGATTGCGTCACGTAGCGCACCCATCGCTTGTACGTGTAGTTCGGGTGACGCGCGTGCTCCGGGATGCGCAGGTAACGTACCTGCAGACTTGATGTATTGTACATGGGAATCTCAAAGTTCATGCTGACGGGGCCGATTTCCCGCCGCACGTGCGGGCTTGGCTGGCCCAGTGTGAGCTTGGCACGCAGCGTCAGCTCCGAGCCACCAGTAAAGCGCTTGATCGCCCAACGCACTTGATTCTCGTTTTCGCGGTACTCTGCCAATTGACCAGCCGAGTTCTTGCCAATGTCACACGAGACAGCCACCGTTGACTGCGGAACAGGGAAGCGAATGATCACATTCGCGCCGTAGTTATTCTCGGGCATGTCCGCGCGTATCTTGAGCACCATCTCAATCTTCGTGGGCGACAGTTCCTCCACGAATGGAAAGATCCGGAAAGGCGCACGAAAGTCACCCGTAATGCGATAGTTAATGACGGTAAATTCGCCGTCCGGTGGCTGGAAAATCAGCACGCGGTCGCGCTCAAACTCGTCCAGCTGCACGCAATCGTGAAAATTGCAGTCATCCAGCACGACTTGTCCATACTGTCGCGCGCCCGAGCTGCCAATGACCAGGTCTTCATTCAGCGCAAGTCGCAGCTCGGGGTTCCCCGACAAGTAGCTCTTGAGTTGAATCCGTCCTTCAATCGATGCATTGAGCATCTGCCCCCCGGACGAAAACACGACGTTCAGACGTTCTAGAATATCACAAAACAGCTCGTTCTCGTCCTGTTTCTTCGAACTCTGTCCCGCCGTGGCCACGGGCTTTTTCACGGCACTCGCTGCTTTGATGTTGGAGCTGCGGTTCATGAATTTCGAGCTGGCTTTGGGTTTCGACAGCATGGCGTCCCCCACGAGAATGGCTTCATTGTGCACGTGCACCTTGAGTCCTTCTGTGCTCGTATCCTGAGCGAATCCATAGTCCAGCGTCTCGTCCAGGAGCTCATAGCACAGGATAAAGTTCTTCCGGAGCGTCTCTTCACTGAGGACGCCGCAATAGTCTTTAAACACGCGGCAGAGGCGCGTGAGGAGCTCCAGCACGTAACTCGGACTCACGTTGTACCGCGTCGTCGCGACAAAGTACAGTCCGTTCTTCTTGACGTAGAGGTAGTTGACGCCGTCGACGAAGAACGTCGGGGGCGCGTCGCCCTTGTCCCAGAATTTCACTTTTCGGAAAAACACTTCAGCCGAGGTGCTCGACACGTCGCCCCGGAAGTCCGAATAGATGATCGTGTCGCCTCGTGTGGAGAGGATGTAGAACTGCGAGATGGACGAGGACATGGAGAAGACAGAGGGGAGGGGGGAAGTGCCACGTCAGTGGGGGCAGGAGGTGAGGATGGGATGGGATGGGATGGGATGCGTGCGTGTTTGGTTCGTCGTTTTTGACAATGGATCGAAATGAGCTGCTGGGCGAGACGAGGGAGGGGAGGGGTGTTTTGATTGGGGGCGATCGATAGATAGATAGAGAGAGAGAGGATGTTGCGGAGGGGGAGGTCGTGGACCTCTGGAGAGGAATGAGGGCGGGGACGTCCGTGGTAGATTCGGTTTAGGGATGTGTGTTTTGGTTTTGCTTTGTTTTGATTTTAGTGGGAATGTATGGATTGAGGTGAAGGCGGTGTTGGTGGAAGTGGGATAACGTTTGCGTGGAGTTGTTTTGGACGGATGATGCGCTTTTGATCGAGTCGATCGAACGGCACGGGATAGAGCTGCTGCTGTGTTGGATGGCTATAGTTGATACAGTCTTGGCAACTGCTCAAGGTGCTTGTATCTACACAGCTACCAGGTTAAATCGAGCGTGATAAAGCTTTGTAAGAACTACATTCGTTGCCAGGTGCATGCAACATAACTGTAGCGCAAGGTCATAAATAATCATGCGCAACATCAGCATCACGATGAAGTAAGGTCGAAGCGTGAGTGGTGTTGCATATACCACCTACAGTCTTGCCGCGAATCGCTAGGATCTATACAAGCCCGGCTAAGCGTCTGGGTAATCCCTGTACTCCTCCAATTATGACATCGTCACGAAACAGTGCGAAACAAAGCGAAATCACATGCGATCGCAGCTAAGGCCATTAAAATTTACAAAAAATCATTTCCTTCGCTCACAAATGGTACGACAGAAGCTGAATACACACAGCATGTGGAGGACAATCGCTCGGGACTATAGTCTTATATGGTTCATCAGTGATGTGATGAGCAGAGGCTTCTTGGATCAGGCTGTGGCGACACAGTCGCTTTTGTTCTCAAGTATAGAAGTCCTTCCTGGCATTTGGGTCCGTGGTTTTAAGCTTCACATTAGTGGTACGTTTTTAATTTCGACTATTCTGGCGTATGTCTGCATTTTGCAAACTTCTCCTATCATATCTTGCGATGAAAGAATTCGTAAAAATGCTCCCTGAATACCTATATGTCTTTCATTCATTCTGTCAGCCGATGCGTCATTAAGGTATACAACCTCTAGTAAGTTATGGACTGGTGCGGACCTCGCTCGTGATATGACCGCCAAATCATCGGGTTTTCTCAGAATGGGTAGAAACAGCTTATAGATGGATCATTCGATCAAAATTTGGCTCATGCAACAGAGAAGGATACGTACAAAACGCTATCGCCATTAATATCGCATTAGTCAAGAAGGAAAACCTACTATACCACAAGTCAGGGGTGAATTGGATGCTGTGTGCGCTGCGAAAATCAAGCGCGTAGAATACACACATAAAAGCAGCTGGTAACGTTCTCGAAATATCGAGCAGGAGCAGATATCGCTTAGGACGTTCATGTTTTTGGTTTCTGACGAACCTTTCTGTAGCAATGCCGCATTTCCAATCAGTCCATCGTATTCTTGTCCTCTACTGCCTTTAAACTTCTCACATAAGCTTGCCTCCGGTCAGCAGCATTCGAGCACTCTCATCGTCTTTGACAAAATAAAGAGCTCCTATCAGATATGAAGGGCCGAGCACTTAGCCGTTGTGCTTACCTCTTCGCTCCTGCTTCAGCTCACCCTGCGTTAAGTCGACCTTCTTCGACAATTCTCGTTGTCCACCTCCATCCTCCTGGCAGATGAAAGGACAGTTTTTGCAGACAACTTCGTGTGGTCAAATCAACTGACTATGGTTGTTGATCAGATCTCGGCCCAGCTAGCTACCGACGAGCGCAGGCCAGTAACTTGGCCGACTTTAAACATGTTGCCGACCTCTCCACGCTCGTAATATTTGATCGTATTAGGCTTCGACCCATATATGGTAAAATGGTGTCGGCAATTGGCTGTCATCTTGGGGTGATACCAGATGATCCTAAAACTAGCTAGATGTAGGTCGTCCGTGATATGTAGCGGAGCGTTACCATTTTAAGGAAACAGTGTCGAAATACTGCAAAAATGCAACTTGTGAAAAATCGAAACCACGTGTTAAAGAGTAGGAGGCGTATCTCACACCTTCGGACGCGTGCCAATCCTGGAAGCCTATAGACCGTCAGCAGTCTGAAGATCGGGAGCCTTGGTGTGAATTTATATCTTGTACGCATGGTTGGGGCTTGCTGGAGTGAGGCTGTTCTTTTGGTTTGCTCCGGTCTTGTTTTTCGAATTGATCGTCTCACGGTGTAATGCCGCATCCGAAGTTGTAGCTTACACGAGTCATTCAACTCTCCGTCCACTAAGCCTACAACTTATCGAAGTGAGCTAAGTGTTTGGCCTCTCACAACACTGGTGGTATCCACTACTTGTGTCTAGCTCTTAGTTTGCAACCAACCTTCCATCAAAGATGATTGCTAGATATGTGCATGAGGCCGTGATTATATGATCTACGTTCAGCCAACGGACGCGCGCAAACAGTATTCCGTTATGCTGACGATGTAGCAATCATATCACTGACACGAGTACCTCGCACACGTACACCTCGCTGATGCAGCAGCTTGTAGTAAACCGGTTACTAAGTGTACCTCACGAGACTCAAGGATGAGTGCAGAGAGCAACCGGTCAGCGTTGTCATTGTTGGAAGAAATTGAGGACATGATGCATTCGCTAAGCTGTTTTAGAGGATGCTGTAAGCTACGCTACTGAAGCCCACTACCAAAACGTCCGGAGCTTAACATGATATTGCGCTGGGCGTGCGGCGAATGACAAATGTACAAGAACTGCCCCATGCAACCGATATGCAAAAGACGCTTCTTCCTATAACCAAACAAGGTTGCAAAAACATCCGCTTCGTTGTCAAAACGAGGTCACGTCACTGTCCGGCAACCGCATCTCATGTCCTCACGAACAACGGATAAGGTGCCGCGATGCTATGAGTGCTCATCAAATCTCGGTGCTCAAATTTAAACACGCTACAAACGCACAGCGAAAAGAAGCTTCATCGCAGTGGCACAGATAGACCTCTGCAAGCACTACAGTGCTCCCTATATAGAATATTCCCCCGGTAGCTAATAACCTACCTCCGCTAACTTATAAAATTAGTCGTCCACCGAGGTCATTCATTGGCCACACGAAATTCGGCTAAAAAGCAAACAAGCTTACTCTTTCTTCGCGCACATCTTTCCCATTCTAAAACAACGCGATCGAATAAAATAAAATCCTCTCTCTTTCGTCATCCCCATCACATTTATCCAAATATCCATTCTCAAACATCCATTCTTAAAAACCCACCACGAAATAAAACCCACCACGAAAAACACAACCAGCAAAGACAGAGCAGAGCCTGCCCGGACCCATGCCAAGCAGCGAAGACGCCGGCGGGCCACGCGGTAACGTGTGGACGCTCGAGGAGTTCAGGGACCTCGTCAAGGCGTGGGAGCTCGCGCTCTTCCATCCACGAGGCGACGTCGACCGCCCCCTGTCGCTCCACGACGTCGTGCACGACCACTTTGTCGCTCTCTGCGGCGGCCACTCGCGTCGGAACAAAGCCGCGCTCACGAGCAAACGAAGCGCGCTTAAATTCTCGTACCTCCACGTACGGGATTTCAATCGACTCCAAAAACGCCAAAAAGCAAAAGTGTTTTTCGATTTTTCGGAAAAAGACCGCCGCAATATTTTAAACCAATTTCGAAAAACGAATTCCAGTGTCGTGGATATCTCACGTGAGATGTTTCAGGCGCTCGAGCGCATTTTTAAAAAAGGAGGAGGCGACGACTACGACGCGCTCATGCAGCTTCCACCACGACAAAAGGACAAGCGGGACGGTAGTGCACGGACTACTTTGTCGAAGGCCAAGCAGACGGCTCCAAGCCACAATTGGACGTTATCACAAGCTGCACCTAGTGACAAGACAACGGATGAGTCGGTAGCTGTACCACTCTCTAATACTGATATTAGTGGTGCTACTACAATCAGTACTACTGCTGATACGGGTACCAGTACGTGGTCAATGGATGAGATGCAGCAGCTTGTAAAGGCTTGGGGCATTGCTGCTCAATTGGTTTGTGAGAACTCGACGGTGAACACCATGTCGGTTATTCATGAAATGTACAGACAATTTGAAGTGCTACAAGAGGGAAAAAGTGTCCGCAATTTGCAGGCGCTCGCCAAGCGTCGGCGAGCACTGAAGCTGTCGTACACGAGAATCTCAGCCTTTAACAAGATCCAGGAGATGAACGGAGATGTTGCTTTTGCCAAGCTACCGTTCCCCACGAGACAGACTTTGATTAAGTCGTGGAAGAATGCAAATTTGTTGGACTTACCAGCAGACATTTACTCAGGCCTGGCGAAAGTAATCCCGTTGGATACTCGAGCGGTTGCTCTCGAAAACATGCGTCGCGCTAGAGCAGGGGAGACGGTAAACTCAGGAGGTGGGCGCGCAGGACGGAGACAAGGAAGATCACCAAAACAGCAAAAGATTGCGAGAGTAGCCCAAGACAGCAACGGTGAAGAAACTGGCCAGATTACCTCATCTCAAACTTCACTTGTTGATGTCGACACTAAAAAAGAAAAAGATGGTGTGTTGGCGATACTAGCGCACAGTCGCTCACGACTTAGCGGTGAGGAGAAGAATAATGACCCTGGTGACGGAAGCGTGCGCCTGACGGAAGAGAGTTGTTTACTTGTTCGTACGGAAGACGTCGCCAGACAGAGCGTGAAACCCTCAGCAGGCGGAGATCGTAACGTCACGTCGAAAAATTGTAACGTCACGTCTCCTACAACACCAGGCACCGCTAAATCCGTCCGCACTAATGAGGTCATTGGTGATTCCATTCAGCGCGTGAATTCAACACCACTGTCGTCTTCACCACGAACACCGAGCAGGGTCTCCATTCCCTTATTCGAACGAAATTGTGTGAGTGCTGACAAGGTATCTCGACCCGATGGTAAAGGTGGTGGTGTCGCTGTGGCTGGACATGCTATGCTCTCTCACAATCAATCAATGATGGATGGAGTTGCTTCTGCTGGTCACACTCGTGACATCGAGAAGACAGGACCTTCAGCGGTAAACCACAACCACTGGGCTATGGTTTCGAAGCCATTGATTACTAAATTTGACCAATTTGCCACTGCGGGTGATGATCTTGTGCTAGATGGCTGCCAGGCCGTACTCCGAAAAGAGGAATCAAGTGTTGCCAGGACTCCGGACGGTAGTGAAACAGATGTTCGAAAATTGGTGAAGAGAAAGCGCAAGCTTCGGGCTGATGGACCAAAGGGACAATTGTGGGAAAATAGCGAGCTCCAAATACTTATTCACGCATGGGAGAGAGCGTCGATCCTCTTGTGTAACAGCGATCCAGCCCAGCGTTTGTCTCTCAACAAAGAGATGTACCGCGAATTTGTGCAGATGCAAGGCGGATCGTCAGTACGAAATAGCACGGCCCTTGCAGCGCGTCGTAGCATACTGAAGTTATCGTATGCCCACATTGAGTCCTTCAATAAGGCGCAGGAGGCCAAAGGAGAGCCTTCTTACCACGATATTCCTGAAGACAAGAGGACGGTCCTGTTGCGATCTTGGAAGAACCGCAACTCTGTTGATCTTACGAAGGAAATGTATGATGGTTTGGGTCGTATTGTAGCCATGGATGAACAGCTTGCTAAAGTCCGGAGCCTCCGCCCGCCTCCGGTGGTCAAACCTAAGCGGAAAGCCGACAGCAGCCCAGAGGATATAAAAGACCCTGCGCTGGGATCTGATGCGAGCCACTTTTCTAAAGCTTCGAAATGGACTACCGAGGAGTCATCAGACTTGATTAAGGCGTGTGCGGATGTGATGAACGTTCATAGCGACAGGGAACAGTGTGCGACAGAACGCGAGGGGCTGATTTATGACGCGTTTGTGACTCGTCGAGAAAACGCGGGGGATACTGAAACACCTTCCCGTCGGGATCTGAGATCGATGGCGCAACAGTGGCGATACATCCTTGCGTCGTACTCGTACATTAAGGCATGCAACGACAATTGTTCAGAGGGAGAAGGCTTGTCGTGGTTTGATATGTCCCCTGTCCAGAAACGTGCGTACCACCAATGTACGAACGTTCCCGTGAAATTCGTCGATCTGGATGCCGAGATGTTTGCGTTAGTAACTGAAACCTCATTTATGGGGGAAGCGGCTCTAACTCCGCCATTACCAGTCGTGAAAGGTGCCACTGAAGGTATCTCACTGCGCCCCCGGTCGATGCGAACGCGAACGGAGGCGTTCTGGTCATCGGATTCCGATTCTTCGATGAACTCGTTACCTCGTGCAAAACGAACAAGCAAAAAAGCTTCTCTTATGGCGGCAAGGAAGGCGAACAATTGGCCTGCTGAGGAGATATGGAATTTGATTAATGCGTGGGAAGAAACATCAGGTGTGATGGGCGACTGTAGACTGTCGCTTACGCTGGAGGATACGTTTTCCCTTTTTACAAGGTTACAAGAGGGACCTAGAAGCCGTGAACGCACCCAGAGTAGCGTGCGAAACAAATTGATTGCGCTGAAGGCTTCCTTCACGAAGATCTCAGCTTTTATCTCAGAGCGAGGCGACAGCTCAGCTTGGTTTGACATGCCACGGGCAGAGAGGGCGGTTGAAATCCGTAATTGGAAACAAAAAACGACCATGGATCTGAATCGAGAAATGTATGATGCATTGGACCGGATTGTGCAGAGAAATGCGAAGGGAGTGCTTAGCAAACGGGGACCGCGCAAACTAGATCGACCATCAACAAGCCCGTTACCGTTGTTTGGCGCGAAGGACTCGACCGAACAAGACAGTAAGGATCACTCTGGGCAGAAGCCCGAGAAGTATGTGGCTGCTAATTGGAGCAAAGAAGAACTGCTTATGCTTGGCAAAGCTTGTGGCGAGCTGCTGGAGGGACGCCGAAGTCGACGGTATGTATTCGAGGAGGAAAAGGATCGCTTTTTCCGTCGATATGAAGAATTGGGTGGAAATAATTCGCCGGCTGCGGCAGTGGGACTTGCACGGTTCGTGTTGGACTCGTACGAGTTCATTTACTTCTACAACCAGAAGGCCGCTGAAAGTAACTCGCTATTCTGGTTCGAGCTGGACGTTGCCGACCGAGAACGTGTTGTAGCAAGAATGGGCAAGACTTACCGCAGCTTCAACGGCTTGAGCACCGTAGACAAAGATATTTTTGACGTAATTGATGGAATCGATGCGGAGCTGCGTGTGAAGCTGGGCGAGACAAAGAAAAAGACATACAAGCCCCCGAGCGACGCTGCTTCTCGCTACGTCGATATTGAAGCTGTCGTTGACCAATGCACATTCAGGTCGAGAAAGCAGTCAGCTCCGAAGTCGTCTACTGTCCGCAAAGTATCAGTCCAGCCGGAGGAGTCGTCATCAGATGAAAACGCAGATATGTTGTCATCGAAGTCCACGTCGACGGACGAGTCGGCCGGCAGCGATTCGAGCGCCTCAGTTGACGCGAGATCGCGCCAAGTGGTGCACTCTGACGAAGAGGAAGTCATTCATTTGCCAAAACGCCGTATCTCTCGCCGTGGATCGGATGCGCCACCCATTCGAGCTGCTCCGCCCAGTAAGCGCAAACGAGAAGCTGTAGTTGGCGCTTCTTCGACGCTGTACATCACGGAGATTATTCAGAAGCAAAACAGAAAACTGGAAAAGGCGGTGAAGCGGTTTCGTAAGGACAGCGCAGAAGGTCGCAAGAAGCATCATGCGTTTTTGGTGCAAAAGATCCAAGATAGCTTCCCGATTGACACCGGTCACGGATCCTACTTGGAGCGAGTCGCTGAACGGCAAGGCCAGACGTTGGTGGAAATCTTCCAGAGATTGCAACAGCATCGCGATGCTGAAAAAGCCAAAGACGAGGAGCTCATGCGCGAGTTATTCGGTCAGAGTGGATCGGCATGAGCAAGACACTGTATTCTCGCAACAAGTGGCATGGTGATGATAGTTGCCAGTACGACTCTGCGAGGTGTCGAACTTGCAGTCTTTACTAAATGAATGCGTGCAACACTGTCATCAATCGGACGTTCGTTTCTTTGTGTAGAAAACTGCTCCGCACGTTGTATGAGTCTGGACCTGCGCAATGTTCCTCGATTGACCACCACCAGGAAATGCCACAGGACCAGCGCTAGTGCTAACAACACATCCACTCAGCTGACACATCGGCAAGATGCCAGCACAAAGGTCGCCGACATTCTTTGCATGGACGAAATCATCGATTTCATTGAGAGCTCCAGCGACTATAAATGCACCAAAGGCACGCTCATTAGCCAACGCTAAGCGTGCCTGAATTCGTGCAAGTGCCTCAGCTAGCGCCCGGGATGTTCGTTTTGGTTGATGCGAAGCAAGAAGTCCATACGCACCTTCCTGCCAGCCAATATCCGACAGCGACATCAAGCTGCCCTGCCACCAGAACACAACCTCCAAGCGATCAATTTGGGCCGAGACTGAACCTGCTGTCACTTTGCTTTCTGAAGCATTGCAACGAGTAAGCACGTGTTCGAGCGGGGCCCGGTCTTGACACGAGAAAATGTTGAGACGTCTGCCTTCCCGTTCGATCGCCAGTTTTTCAGACGGCGCTATGACATCAACGACGCGAAGCTGCGTGTTTTCTTTCAGACCATCCGAAGGAAGTAGCGAGACAATATCGTGCGTCACGACTCGACTCAACTCATCCGCTAAGCTCGAGCGAACACATCGGAGCACAGGTGTGATCGGATAGTATCCACTTGATGAAAATGACCGGATACCTACATGACCATGGAGTCGAAGCAGCAATGACGAAGGAAAAACGACTGGATCCAGTGGACGATGAGGTTGACATCGTAGAGTTTTGTGCTGAGCTCTTCGACTCTTTTTGTGGTCCTGGCGACCACGAGCAGCTCCAATTCCCTGTGCACGAGAGACCGAGTACGTGGCAAGAGGAATGCACTGACCAACAAGTGATGAAGAAACAGCTCCGACGACTGGAGCTCCTGGATACCAAGCGTCAACTGCTGCAATCAACTCGCTCGCACTTTGGTCGTTCCCTCCAAAGAGCAAAAATGAGGGCTTGTCATTGCCACAGTCGGGTGCAATAGCGTGAAATGGGTTCGCTAGTGACTGGGTTCGTGACGCCCGTCTCAGCATCTTGCGGTCAAATGTAGCCATCTCCAGCGTCGTGTCGGACAAGTGAGCGACTGAAATTGACAACGTCACGGCAGTGTCCATGTTCTTGACAGTCGATTGCTCTACATCGTGGACCACTGCATTCGTGGTCAAGATGCCAACGACGTGGCACTTGAATGGTAACAACTTCGCTTGTTCCATCATGGCTACAGCATCTTGCCAGAATTTGCCACGACGCCATGGTGTGGTATCACGACTAGCTGCGACAAGTAGAATCAAAGTGGGTACAAATCGAGTGTCGACCCATTGTAAAGCATTCGCACGCACGAGGTCGAGACTCTCATTGGCGGTCGCAGCAGGACCGAGGACCGTCGTGCGCCATTCGGAAGACATTGGCTCGGCACCTGTCGTCACGTTGTGCCACTCGGAACACACGCAACTCACCACCGACGTGTCTCGCCATGTCAGACACGGCAGTACCTTCTGTGTCCACAGATCGCACGGTAACGACGTCCATTGAATCGTTCGTTGCATTTCGGCAACGACCGAATGGTGCGCTCTACACCGCAGCGAACAGGTAGCAGACGTGACGCGGGCAACTGTTATAGCAGCTGGTCCTGCGTGACGCCGTGTACCACTTCTCGATGGTACATGGTACCAATCGAGGGTACTGCACGTCAAAAAGCGAAGGGACACGGATGGTTTGGCACTAAAAGGAGGGAGTGTGTGTGTGTCTCTTATGAGCATTACCGTCGTTGTTAACGGTCACTGTGATGGTCATAGTGCATACTGGTTTCAAATCAAGTTGTGTGGATGAGCTTGCGTCATCGTCGGATGATGATTGCAGTGCACATCACGAGATCATGTGGTGCAGAAGCGAGAGAGCAGGTGCTGCTATGGCTCGCTCTGGTCGTCAGATCAGACTGTGTTTTTTCTATACAATGTCCGTTGTGGCTACAGCTTGTGCGTGTAGAGAAAGTTTTGATGGCCAGCGATATGCGTCTGTGTTCGTGTGTAAACATTGAAGACGTGTCTTTTGCTGGTAGTGATAGTTATAGAGAACGGCTGGTGGTGGAGGACTAACAGGAGCAATTGATTCCTATGAAGGCAACGGCGCTCTATAGCACACGAACGACATACGTAATGGAATTGTAGCCTCTTTTTACAACACGCAAGGGCTTTGTCACGCGTGAGAGCTAGTCATCACTGCATCATATGCCGACACTTTGTTGACGCAGCTTTTGCGCAACTCTGACCTGCCTCAGCAGAAGATTTCCACGAGACAGCTTTCGCTCGTTTTGGCATTATCGATTTCGCCCACTCGACACCACTAGCTATCTATCTCTCGCTACTTTCGCGCTTCTTTTCAACCGGAAAAGACCTGTATGATGCCGGAAATCACGGACGTCAAACTGTTTGCCCTGAGCGCTGCAGTGCTGTATATCAAGTTCTTGATCTGTACGATGGTCCAAGGCCGAAAGGCCTTTGCTGCCGGTACGCGCATGGCAGAGGACAGCAAGTTACCGCTCGCTATGAACGTCCAACAAGATGGGTTCATCGACCTCACGGATCACCACGTTCGCACAGCGGTCGAGGAGGAAATCCGGTGGAAACGCATCATCCAGAACGATCTCGAGTCGATGCCAATGGCGTACATCGTGTTCTGGAGTGCCATCTGTGTCGGGGTGAACGCGGACATCACTAAGGTGCTACTTCTGGTCTACACGATCGCTCGGATTGGCCACACCATTGTCTACTCTCAGAGTTTGGCTCGCGCTCGCTTGTTTTTCTGGGTCATTGGCACGGTATGCATCATCACGTGTGCCGTGACAATTGTCGTAGCTGCGTTGGTCTAGTTCTAGAAGTGTATTGATATGAAGGCAGTCAGTCGCTGCAACCTTATTGCTCAATAGAATCTATATTCTATCTTATCGTCTTCTCGGTCCTTGTTCGGTTCGTTTGCATACAAGTTGACTCGGAGGAGACTTTCCTCCTCGTTCACAGAATAGTCATCATTACTTAACAATGCGCAACTTCAGATACGACCTAGTCGACCAACCGCAGACCACACGTCGTTCATCCGGAAAGGTACGGTTCCAAACGCTCTTGGACGTGTTACTTCACCGTCACCTTTGACTGCACAATCTTTAGAATTTTGACGATAGCCTGACAAATGTACAAACTAACCACCACGACTATGCTCCCATCGTAATGGCTAGCGTCGTAATGGCCACATTTGCAGCTTGAAGTAACACGCATTTACCATATACCACTAATTTAATATCGCTGCGATCAGGCATGCAAAACAAATAGCAACAAGATGCACCTTCGACGGTTCTAGCCAACCGATACCGTTTGTTGTGTCAGGCAAACACGTTCATCCGTCTCGCTGTGTCGAACATGCTCGTCTCGAAACGGACGTGTAGTTATCGCCATGAAAAGGCTGCAACCGGTCATTCCTGAATTTGCTCTTCAATCTTTGCGTCATGAACGACATCACGGACGTCAAAGCCTTTGCACTCAGTACTGCTGCACTCTACATCAAGTTCCTGGCGTCCACTGTGATCCAAGGACGTAAAGCTTTTGCTGAAAATACACAAATGATAGCCAAGGCGGTTGTGTGCACATTGGGACTCCAGCTCACCAAGTTTACACCGTGGCTATGATTTAAACAATTTATTCAAAAAGCTGTAAGCAACATTGCACGCTTTCATTTGATAAAAAACAGCAGTTAAAAAAGTAGTAGTAGTAGTGGTAGTTGTGGTAGTAGTAGTCAAAGTAGTAGTAGTGGTAGCAGAGCAACTACTATTACTACTACTACTACTACTACTACTTTTTGTCCATACTGCACCGTGCACTACGCTTCTGGCCTTGGCCGGGCAAGTAGTGCTTCCCGCTCTTCCAGTTTGGACAACGATCGCTCTCCTTGATACCTGTAAAACATCACAGCATGGTGAGACACACATACAATATAAGTGTGTCGAAGTCACACTTTTATGAAGCACCGTTCAACGCGCTTTCAATGTGCAGGCTGCATCCTCTCCATGTCTGTTTGTGGCAAATCGGATACTCGGTCTCCATGCACATTTTCATTTTACCCTGCTGTGAATGTACCTGGAAGGACGCTCGTGTATTTGTGATTGAAATAAGTCCACAACAAAATGACTACATGGTTGGTGGACAATGAGATTGGCATTCATATTCCTGCTCGTTCTACTTGTAAAGACAAGCTCCAGAGGATAGTGTTTAGGTGTGGCAATTATGCACACAAAAGCTATAACGTGTCCGAGAATATAGAAATCGTGTCGGTGCTGTGCTGTATGGCCAAATGCCCCGATAGAACGATTACAGGAACACTAAGATCTGGCGATAGCTTCGTGGACGAACACGTTAGCGGTCAATTTCTTACATTGTCAAGGACGACAAACCACCTGATTGATCCACAGCAAATGAAGTCGCAGGGTGGTAGTCACCTTGACTCGCGAACGTATGCAAATTAATGCGACCTTTTTCGGAGTCAACAATCATTCCGGAGGAATCGTATGGACTTGGAGACAAAATGGAGCATTTGTCGTAGCGAGGCTCTATCTACCCATAGTTGGAGCAGATAAACGAGCGAGTGTTTTGTAAGCCATGGTTACTGCGAGATGTATTCGGGTCGTTAACACACGAAAGGGGGAGGCACTAGCCCAAATCGGAGAAGGTACGTGTATTGGAAAATCACGCTAGTATCATGCATTCCTTGACTCGATCTAAGATGCTACCAGCCGATGAAGATCAAAAAGCGCACACGTACGTTGAAGCGTGTCCGACAATGAGATCAGTGCGTACACACGCAGCTTAAGACTAAAGGTGAATGTCGGAAGGAGCATGAAAATCCAACGTTTCTGGTTTCGGATTCAGAGCTAATTTATCGCTAGGAATAATAAAGTTACATGTCATACGCTATCGTGCTGTCCCCACCGCCCCTCAATCAATACAAACGCCTACATCTACTTGCTATACCAGATGGAATTAAAAGCTTTTGCAAGCGCCAATTTGCTATTCACGTAATAGTACGTCCTTTTCTTATCTGTACGCTACACTTCCCGCCTCGTCGCTGAACATTATCCAGCTTCTTCCATGCGATCGCTGATTTTTACCGGGTGCACTCGTCTAGTGTTACGTCGTAGAGCAACATATCTCAAATCTGAATGTCAAAAAAAGGCGAAAGATCGTACCTCAAATGTATTCATTTTCCAGTTCTCGAGCTTTCTGCGAGTCCGTCATAATTAACTTTGACGAGTGTATACGATTAAACAGGTACTCTTCGAAATTATCCCGCTTGATCAAGTCAAGCTCATTCGCGAATTCACTGGACCATAAACGCAAGCGGAAGCTAAAACTTGCAACTTGTGAGAGTCATGTGCATGAAAGTTGAGTGCTCCACGTGTCACAAAGCTTCATGGAAGGGATGTGGCTTGCATATCGATACCGCTCTCAACGGTGCGTGCTGTCTCTTTATATGAATTCTGCTGCTCAGAAATACACAAGTATCTAATAGCTGTAATGAGTGATAATATAGGTGTCAAGGAACAAGACCGCTGCCCACATTGGAAAACTGGCAAGCACTAACTGTGGCACAGTGCTCCACAGCCAATGACTGCCAGTGATGTCTAACTACTGGCATCTTCCAGCAGATGATCATAGTGGAGAGAGAGAGACGCACACCTGCAAACAAAGATGCACGGAAGTTTTGGCACGGAAGACGATATTGAACAATACATTCAGTTCGGGTTGTTATAGTTCTTAGGTGCTGGGGACGATCCGATATAGTACGTAACAACGTTCACTACAAAGCAGACCAGGACTTGCTGGTACCCAGTAAGTTCCGTGGCGCTGCAGCTTACTACATGTTCGTGCGATTTTTTCATCTACATTCTGGCTACTTGTCGTCTACACCTTGTCGATAAAAGGCGACGTCAACAGTCCTTCGATCTCCAACGTCTCTCGCAGTGAAGCTGGGACTGTCACTGGCGTACGAGGCACTGGATGGGCAATTGAAAACGTCGACACTTCATCGACTACTGGCAAGGCCGTGTCCATCTCTCTGCTGTAGTTTCGTAAACTCCTCGAAGCTCGCTTCGACCGCGGGCGCCCCATGTCCACACTGCACTTGACTTTCGTCACAGGTGACGGCGTACACATATTAAACACCAGCGCCGTCGGCCGTTTGCCACTTCCCGAAGCGACCGCAAGTCGCCTCCTGGCTCCTCTAGTAGCACCCGTCGACAGCATCAACTTGTGCTCCGACTTGGCCACAAGCATCGCCACGGACGGACTCTTCTTTTTCCGAGGAGTGGTCAATGGCGTTGGCTCGACTTCAGGAGCAAGTAGCTTCCGAATCCGTTTACAAAACGACTCGACGTCGTGCATCTCTACGTCAAACAACACCCCAACCACGCCGCTATCATTAGCGACGCGAATGTTCACCACATCATCGTCCACGAGCACAGTGTCTCGATTACAAATGACGTCACCAAAGCGTTCTTGGCACTCAAGAGCGGCCGAGATCATAAAAGGCAGCTTGAATTTCCGGTCCAGATTACGACCGTCTTCGGTGTGCCACAAGGGCAAGAACGTGGTCGTCTCGTGGGGACCGATTGACCACGAGCGGTCATCACCTCGAATCACGAGCTGATTGACCACTGAGGTCGGAAAACTGAGACGCAAAACGTCCTGAATGAGCGCGACTTGGGGACTGAACGTCACGATTGCCACATGGACGTGGGCTTCACACAGCAAAGGCACGAGCAGCAAGAAGAATTGACGCACGTGCGTTCGGAGCTCTTCAGCTGAAGAGGTCCATTGGCCGCCTGTATGGACCGTCACAAACGTCGCGTCAAAGTCAATGCAGACGAGCTTTGCACCGATAGCGTGCAGTCCTGCAGCAGCTTCGAGAGCTTGCGCTTCGACCAGGTCGACGCTCGGGCGACGCTTGGACGCCATGGGCTGGCCGCGTCTCAGCAGCCGCAAAAGTTGCTGCACTTTACCACGTTGGACTTGCGACCACAAACGAAAGCGGGGATGGACGGGGACTGTCAGACCTTATCTCGGTTTTACCACGACGACGCGACGGTTAATGTGGACTTTCGGTACGGACGGGAATGAGAGCGAGGTGTGACGGACAGGCTTTGGGTAGTACGGGCTTTGGAGAAGGTTGAGGATGGAGGATGGATACTGTGAAGCTCGGAGTACGAAGAGAGAGAGCGAGAGAGAGAGAGAGGTTAGTGAGAGGAAGAACGTTTGGATAGTGCTTGTATTTGCTTGACAGAGGTGGTGTGAGGTTGATAGGAAGTAGAGTTCTAAAGACAGGCAGAAGGTGAAGGTATCCTGTGGTGATACGAGTGCCAAGTAGAGAAGCTGTTCTTGGCAAAGAGATGCAGGAGGGCGTTGTTGTTGTTGGATAATGGACATGTGCGTCTTGGAGATTGACGACGGTGAACCGAGCGATTCTTTTTACAGGTTTTCATTTGTTGCCACGGAGGGCTGTGTGTGCTGCATTACGGGCGAAGCAGGGAGATGTCCGGTATGGGATGCACGAATGGCTCACGTTTACGCTGGCATTACATTAAAATTGAGGTGCAAGTAGCTGAACAGCAGTCATGCGATTGCACATTTGGTCCTCGTCTGCGCTGATGCGACCGGTTGATCCATTGCGACGACTGGAAAAACGTCAAGACATTAGATGTGAAGGCTACTGCTGGTTTTGTCCGGGGTAAACCGTTACATAACAATTTATCAGAAATTGTTAATAGAATATAACTATAAGAGTTATATTCTCAGAATATTGTCATAAGGACAAATATTCTGTAGCACTTACGAGTAGTTCCTAATTGGTTGATATAGGCCATTATATCAACCAACGAAGACGCGCCACGACAGATGCACGCAATGAAGTGTGAGCAGATAGTTGATATACACATTTGTATTTAGACATAGTTAGATGAGGATAAACAGTGGTTTATTAACAGACATTAACTATTATAAATACAGTTCTACTTTTTACTTTAATCAAGTACTCGCTTCTTCTTACCGTCTTCCTCCGCACGTACCAGTGTACGTGAAGTTAAGCTGCACCGCCTTATTCTGTCGTCAGAATAAGTAGCTTGTACTGTCATCAGTACAAGCTTCAGGGTGCCCCATTACACCTGGTAGCACTTCGTAGTCCGTCCGAGGACCACGTTCACATCTAACATGGATATGTTAGATGATGATGATGACCAAAGCCTTCGCGTGACGGCTACTCCCATTTGAGTGATGTCGAATGGGATGCGGTTGATCGGATGGGCTTAACCATGGGCATCCATGCTGTTAGCGTCGTGATAGAGGCTCTCAATAGAGATGCCCAACATGCTACTATCGCCAAGTTCATTCAAAATGAACTTGACGCCGAATGCGAGAAAGTAGCCGTGCTTCACCAACAAGGTTCTCAACAATCAGAGTTGTTGAGAGAACAGGGTGCTCAACAGTTTGAACTGTTGAGACAGCAGCGGGCTGCTGCTGGCGGGTCGATGCACTCACGTCGACCCGAGACATTGAAGATTGAAATCTCCAAGTATAGGGGAGTTGTAGAGGACTCCCTCTTGAGATGGTTCGTCGAATCGGATGACGCCATAAGGGCGCGTCGCATCGACGACGGGGATATGCAAGTTGCATTTGCCCAATCAAATCTGGCAGGACGTGCCAAGACTTGGGCACTGGGGCTCAAGTTGCACGACCCATATGCGTTTGGGTCGTTAGAAGTCTTCAAGTCGCGGCTCAGACAAACGTTGAACCGCCTAGAGCTGAGTTCAGAGCTCGAACCGAACTCTTGAAGATCAAACAGGGTAAGCGTTGATGTGCACGCTTACGCACAACATATACGACATCTCACGAGTTGTATAAGTTCCAACTCGGTTGATGAACACACGTTGGTTTCGATGTTCATGCAGGGTCTTGCGGATGGTCCCGTCAAGACTCACCTGTTCCGACTTGAACTAGATTAACTAGAACAAGTCATTTCCATTGCGGAACAAAAAGACTTCAGTCTGAGACAGGCTCGCGCCAGCTCGACATCATATCGTCAACCGAGACGATATGACAGCGGAGGTCCAGAGCCGATGGAACTCTGTTATGTAGAGAGCGAGAAGGCTCGCTCTACAGACTACAAGAAGTTGCAGAAATGCAACAGATGTCAAAAGACAGGACACTACGCTTACGAGTGTAGTGCCCCTCGTCCAGTGTCTCGCAACACTGGGCGTAATGACCGTCCACCCATGAGAAAGGGGCAGGGACGCGGGTCCGCTGTTGGTGCAAAGACGCAACAACGGGATGGACCGTCAAAAAACGGACAGGATCAGTAGGTGCGGAGCACCCTACTGGTCCAGCAACGTCAAGAGAATTTGTAGGCCTCTTGATGAAGGTTGCTCCCAACACACAAACATTGTGCGTTGCTGCTCTAGGTAATGAGATCTCACTCATTACCTTGAAACTCGAAGTGACGAATAAGTTGTCCCTTCGAGCTCTAGTCGATTGTGGGGCGTCTAACAATTTTGTGCAACGCCAATCACTAGAAGATGGTCACTTCAAGTTTGTTGAATGTGACGCACCTCCTACGAGGATGACGGTACGTCTTGCGACAGGCGCATCCGTAACCGTCATGAAGCGTATAGTGAAGATCCACTATACGCTAGAAGATACCCAATATGACGATGACTTTATCGTATTGGATTTGAATGACAAATTTGATGTCATCCTTGGAATACCGTAGCTCAGAAGGTTCGAAACACGGGTAAACTGGCAACATCGAACAGTAACGATGCCTGCCGTTTGTTCATCAGATGGCCATCTGATGAACGTTTTGGAGCGTCCACAAGCGTGTGGATGTACTACGAGTGAGTGCGATGGCCTCACTTGTGGTACGGTCGTTAGTACGACTGCACGAAATCTTAGTGTGACAAACGGTTACACTTCGGAGCAAAGTTCCGGCGGCTGTGAGGAAACACAGGCTGCGCCGAAGGTCCAACACTCGAATAAGTCGAGTGGACCGGGACGAAGATGTATCCCTAGCGGGGAACATCTAGAAGATAAACAATCGATCGCTCAGGTTAAGCGAAACGAAAATCCTAGATCGACTGGAGAGTCTTTCGTAGAGGATCCCGCTGTGGTTGCGCAACCTCAGCTAGAGGAAGTTAAGGGAATAAGTCCCGATATTGCAAATACGGTGGAAACAAGTTCCCCTAAATCCGAGGGAGTAAGTCCCCGGGAAGCCGAAGGAATAAGTCCTTCGAGACCTGAGGGAATAAGTCCCCAGGAAATGACAGAGACATTGAATGTCCTGGTCAATGATGGATCAAGTGTAGGCGATTATACACTTGATCTGATTGCGCCTCCAAAGTTGACTTCGGAGATCACTCAGTTGCCAACGCTCGAACATAAAAGGTCCTTGCGTGATCTGCGTAGTGGCAAAGTCACGCAGATCTGCGTACTCGTCGCTGACGACGAGTGTGTAGCCGACATAAGGTCAGCAACAGTGTTCACTGAGAACGAGAGAGTTCTCAGTAGTCATCTATGGAAGAGAGTGTCCTTGATGAAAAGACACGAGTTGAGCGATATGACTCCCAATCGTGGGAATCGCTCATGACAAATCCTCTCTATGAAGATTTGGTTGAATTCAAGGACGTATTCCCTGAAATTGTTCCGTGCGAGTTACCGAAGGATAAAGGTACTAGACACGAGATCGAGCTTAAACCAGGCTCGAAGTACTGTGTCATGAAGCAGGGACCACTGCCTCGTGAACAAGTACTTGCGATCGACAAGTTCTTTGCCGATCGTTTAGCTGCGGGCCATGTGAGGGAATCAACTTCTCCACATAGCTCTCCGACCTTCTGTGTGCAAAAAGCAACAGGAGGGTGGCGGATAGTGCATGCATTTAACAAGTTGAATGCTGCAACGGTACCGTCTCAGACGCCGATACCAAGGAAGGACGTAATCATTGATGGTATGTCAAAGAGTCCCATCTTTTCGTTCATGGATTTGATGGATGGCTTCTATCAAATCCTCATGCGAGAACGGGATATACCCTATACCGCAGTTAGCACGCCTAGCGGCATGCTCTGGGAATGACTAGTAATGCCACAAGGGCTTAGTAATGCCCCTGCCACGTTCAACAGATGTGTATCACATCTGTTGAGACCAGTGCGAGAATTCGGACCGAGTTATTTCGATGACGTTTTTCATTCATAGCCGGGCTATGGATGGAAAGTCGGACGTTGAGGTTCACTGATACCACGTCCGACAGGTTCTTACAATCATGCGAAAGGATCAATTGTATGCAAATCTCAAGAAGTGTATATTTGCAGCGAGCGAAGTACCACTTCTTGCATCCCTGGTAAGAACGGTGTACGTCCTGATCCCGAAAAGATCAAGACGATCACCGACTGGCCTGTGCCGGTTGATGTCAAAGGTCTTCAAAAATTCCTTGGGCTGGCGGCGTATTTGCATAAGTATTCACGCAATTACGCCAAGATGACGGTACACCTCTCTCGTTGGTTGAAAAAGAACGAGAGGTGGTTATGGAACGCTGAATGTCAGCGCTACTTTGATGGTATTAATCAGATCTTGATACATCCCCACTCCTAGTAATAGACGATCAGGACAGGCCATTTCATGTGGTCTATGATGCCAGCGATTTCGCAATCGGCTGTGCATTAATGCAGCACGATCTTGAAGGCGTTGAATGCGTCGTCTGCTATCAGTCGCGTCAGCTGCAACCAGCTAAGCGGAACTATCCAGTGCATGACAAGGAAATCCTTACCATGAAGTATGCACTCACGAAGTCCAGAGTCTATCTATTAGGAGATAGACCCTTCATTGTTTACACTGACCATGCGTCGTTACGCACGGCAGTGAACAGCCCGCACCTTTCACAACGAATGGCGCGGTGGTTTTCATTCTTTGCAGAATACAAGTTTACGGTAGAGTACAAACCAGGACGGCTTAATGTCGTCGTTGATGCACTCTCACGTCGTCCCGACTTTGAACCAGTCGTGAAACCCAACAGTGAGACAGCCACTGTTGCGGTTATGACGTCCACCATACCATCTTAAACGTTACATGATGATGTGCGGCGGGCGTATGCCCAAGATGGTGAGATTGTGAAGTTTTTGGCACATCTCTCACATCCATCTCGAGAATCGTTGAAACGATTATCGTCTGCGTATCGATCTGCATGAGATCGATACACTACTTGCAACGGCTTACTGTAATATACAGCCGATACTGGTGACACACCACGTGTTGTCATTCCAGATGATACTGATCTACGGTTGCGAATCATGTTCGAGTGTCACGATGCTCCTATAGGAGGACATCGTGGCCGGGAGAAAACATATCTCACGGTGAGTCGAGACTTTTACTGGCCCCGCCAGTATCAGTTTGTGCGAAAGTATGTTCGCGCATGCGAAGTCTGTCAACGAGTGAAGTCAAGTCCTTCACTGCGTGCACCTTTACAGCCTCTACCAGTTCCGGCTGAGTGCTGGGAATCCATCTCAATGGATTTCGTCTTCGGGTTACCCAAAGACGCGCGCAAGAATACGGGTATTCTCGTATTTGTTGACAGATTCAGCAAAATAGTACATATTGTGGTTGTACCAGAGTCAATCACAGCAAGTGGCTGTGCTTGTGTCTTTATCGACACCATCTTCCGACTTCATGGGTTGCCCCGTGAACTCGTATCAGACAGATATCCACGCTTCACTGCTGATTTCCGGCGTTCCGTGTTTAAATTACTCGGAACGCGCTTGAAGATGTCGACATCTGATCATCCAGAGTCAGATGGTCAGACGGGACGAGCCAATCGTTTCCTAGAAGAGATAATTCGATGATACGTACACTCCCTTAAGAGTTGGAGTGAGTTTTTGCCAATGGTAGAGTTTGCCATTTTCAACTCGGTGCATGCGTCCACGACACATACTCTGTTTTACGTGAATGGACTACGCTATCCGCGTGTACCCACCTTACTAGAGTGTAACTCTGGTTTAAGGGGGGGAGGGACTCGCGCGAGCAAAAACCGATTTGGTGCACGCTCATCACGATCTGACGATGAGGTCATTGCGTTTGATGCCGATATCGACAACATCGATATCGAAGAAGATGAAGCCAGTGAGAGCGAGGAAGCCCTCACTGAAGAAAAGATTGATGTCGCTGCAGTGCACTCACAGCGCACTGAAGCTAAAGATTCAGCAGATGAGTTCATACTGGCTCGTGAAATGGTAGTCCGTTTCGTTCAAGGCTCCATCGCCGAAGCGGTGGATAAGCAAAAGCAAAACGCTGACAAGAATGGAAGGGCAAACACTCTTTTATTTATTAAAGGTGACTTAGTCCTACTGTCTACGGTTAATCTACCAAAGCATATAGTGACTAACTTGGGTAGTAGTAAACTTCTACCCAAGTACATCGGCCCATTTCGTGTATTGCATCGCCTAGGCAACGCATACAGGATCAAACTGCCACGTAAGATGCGAACGCATCCCACGTTTTACGTTGGTCGGCTTAAGCCGTACCATCAGTACGCTGCTTCTTCCGATGAAGAACGCCCTTGTGTTCAAGCATCTCACAGAGGGCCTTGTGCTCCCGATGGTGGATGTCTACAAGGGTCTGAAGAGCAATTATCTTAGCCCGACACCGGTAAATATCCACACGAGCTACCCTTAGCTCGTCACGCAGAGATGTCAAAGCCTCTAGTTCTCAAGCTGAGCAAAGTCAAACTCAGCTCGATGCTTCAAGACAGTGTCCGCCAGTTGGAGACGCCTGTCCCGCTCATGTTCGAGATCGCCGCGTAACGCTTGCGTTACGCGATCAAAGAGGCTCTCGGGGATAGATGCTTCCCCACGATAGTTTGGAGAGCGGTTTCACTCCTTCTCCACCTCCATTAGAGGACTCTCGCGGTGGCCAGCGCTATCCGGTTGAGCAGCTGTTATGCCACCGCGATGTGAACGGACGTCGGACGAGTTACCTCGTCCGGTGCCGCGGTTATCCCCCGTCCTGGGATACTTGGGAGCCCCGCTCCCAACTGATGGTTGACGTACTGGGTCTGGTTGATCAGTACGACGCGGCACATCCTGTGCCGCAGAAGGACCGCCGGAGAAAGTCTTCCCGGCACGGTCGTAAAGGGATTTCAGGTTGTCAATCCCTTCGCACATCTCAGTAGAGATACGTACGCGCCACCAGGGGCTAGTAAGGAGGTAAACCTACTTAGGTGCGCGCGAAGAGTTGTTCACACAACAAGGGCACGGGTCTTTCCAGGAAAGACAGGGTAACCCACCCTCCTTAGACAGACGATGCAGCTTATAGCGTGCACCTGTCGGGATTCTCTTCTCAACCTTATCACGAGCTTTGATAAGTTTGTCGTTCCAAGCGTCACGACCTACATCCTCAAGGTTATGGATGTAAGCGTTCCACGCTTGAAGCAGTGAGGGACCATCACGTTTGTGATTCCCACTGTACCATCGATGCTTAAAGAAAGCATCGATGAAGAACTCATTCTCAGCGATAGTCTTTCGCACTGGGGTCAAAGTGATGGATCCTTGATGAATCGAACAATCGTGTTCGATAGCGATCACTTGTCGTCGCCAACAAGCGATCCATGACCGACTTTGGAGGCATCCATGCTTTCTTTTCGGGAGCGAGACGCAACACACTGCGGTCCAGCTCTTCCTGCGACGTGCCGACAGAAGTACTGGCACCTCGTTGCGAAGTGGCGTCAATAGGAGAACCGACACCACTGTGAGCGCCCGAATCTTGCGACCTCGAGCGCCTTCGCTTCGGCGATGGTTCATCTGATTCGTCAGATGAACCAACGATGCTACGACGCGTAGCATCATCCATGCCACGCTTGGCAGGCGGCTTGGTTTCAACCGCCTTCGATACGGATCCGTCTTCCGTATCAGGAGAGTATGAGACACTGAGCTCATACTCTGTGAAGACATGAGTGTCTTCATGACGAGCGTCTGCATCACTGGTGACACAGACTGAGACACTTTAGCAACCGATGACACATCGTTTGCAGTGGTTTCTGCTTCGGCGTCTTCACAGAGACGTGCAGACGCGCTATCAGCTGCCTTGTTCGCGCACCGCATGAGCTTGTTTACCATGCGATGAAATTAATGGACTGTGGACTTGGAGCAACAAGTGCAAACCCCGTCCCAAATGATTTGGGACGAGTATCCATTTAGTCAATCAGTCACTAAACTGACTGATGGTTAAGGGAGGGGGGTGATGTAACGGGGTGAACCGTTACATAACAATTTATCAGAAATTGTTAATAGAATATAACTATAAGAGTTATATTCTCAGGATATTGTCATAAGGACAAATATTCTGTAGCACTTACGAGTAGTTCCTAATTGGTTGATATAGGCCATTATATCAACCAACGAAGACGCGCCACGACAGATGCACGCAATGAAGTGTGAGCAGATAGTTGATATACACATTTTTATTCAGACATTGTTAGATGAGGATAAACAGTGGTTTATTAACAGACATTAACTATTATAAATACAGTTCTACTTTTTACTTTAATCAAGTATTCGCTTCTTCTTACCGTCTTCCTCTGCACGTACCAGTGTACGTGAAGTTAAGCGGCACCGCCTTATTCTGTCGTCAGAATAAGTAGCTTGTACTGTCATCAGTACAAGCTTCAGGGTGCCCCTTTACACTGGGCCACGATACACCTCCATCACTTGGCAATATTGTCGGTGCAACTCCCCCACTGTCTGTGCACAAAAAGACTGCTGCGTCGCGCTATCCCAATAATAGTAATAACAATAATAATAATAATAATAAACAGTAGTGTCACATCCAGAGTCCATGAGAAATACCACGTCGGCTGTCCACTTTTGTCTCCTATTCACTCATTTTTATGGGAATACGTAACATTGGCTAGTATACGTATCCGTCTCACTCTCTTGATGTGGAACCCTTAGAGAATTGCCAGGATCAAAGGCAGGATCACCAACGTGTTCCGTATAATTGAGCCATAGACCCATTCCTTGTGCGTAGTAGACGGTCTCGTTCCGCTCGCCGGACTGCGTTAGCCTATGAGGCATTAGCGTTGTCTATCATGTGAAGAACATGAGCACCACTGCCAGTAGGACCACTATTTTATTTGTTTCGAAACAGAAGATGTGACATACGGTACTGTAGTTAGAATCGTTGCAGCAATTAAACGAAAACCAAGATGCGGTGACACTCAGAGCACTTCGGCTGCTGTGTTTGTGCCTTTGTGTCGGTAACGACGTCGTCATGGGTTTTGGTAAACCGAAGGACTCATTACGAGGAAGCACCACCATCACTAATATAATCCTGATCATTAAGAGCGGTCAGATGCTCCAAGTCAGCTTCAGAAGACACCATCGAAGACTTCTCATGATCATAGTCAAGACCGTCTAACGATCACGTGTTGGAATTCAAGATGTACTAGCGGGCACTCTATTCCGGGTAAACGCCCCAGCTGCCAGGTTTAGTAGTTAAAGTGAGTGATTTGTGAGGTTACACTGAGTTCTAGAAGGTTCTTCATTTGATTGTGCACGATACAGAAAGTTCTCACTTCTGGATTGGATAAGCCACTGACGAGGCCCCCGGCGGAGAGCCGAAACGCGTCTGGCGCGCTTTTTAATAAAGAAGTCGCTCATTACATTTCTTTTTGATTTCCAACATCCCGGTGTTACCAGAGCAACATTGGGCGAATCGCGATAGCAAGCTATTTCATCCTGGTGTTGGATTTCCTTCGGAAAACAGCTAATCCGGACACGACGGAACAACAGGCTCCATTATTCAAGGCCTCTTGCTGCCGCCTGGGTCGCAAGATCTCGTCCGTCGATTGATAGATATCTTCGTATTATGTGCAGCACGAGGGTTAATTCAAAACAGAAAACTGGATAGTGGAACTGGCGGAGTAAACACAATGAGATACCTCTGCAGTAGAATACTGCCTTGTCGCTGATGAGATCGACTCGGGCTTGGGATTTTGCTCAGGCAACTCATATGTTCAACAAGTTCTGATTAAAGCGTAACAATGTTCACGTCGGTAAAACTCATATTCATAATCTGATTTTACGAATGAAGCCGGTCGTCTCAACAGTAAAGTTAAAAAAGCAAGGAAGCACCGACCCAAGCGCTCCATGGTCAAAAGCGCAATCGGTCTTTTGCACTCACTCAGCATTCGGCTGGGTCTCAAGCAATGGTATGTCATAACCGACATTGAATGCTCACCGTTGTATAACCTTGACCTTTTTACTCAACTGGATCTAACTCACATGACGTTCTGGGACGAGTTTCATCAAAGACAGTCGGTCTGGGGCATTTTATAATATCGAAAGGAGTAGTACCGCTTCTTTCGAAATGATGAGAGAGACGGCGATCTTAATGGAAATCTAAGGAAGATGCGATCAAGCTGATTGTAAGATACGCTAAAGAGTTGCATTTCGGCTTCGATTGTGTGCCACGGTTGACAAATCTGACGGTGATCTTGAAGGCAGGCAATGCCAACCGTTCGTATACACAGGAAATGTATGCAAACTATTCCCAATTGACAACACTTATAGAAAAGGAAAATCTTCGAGGGGAACAGTTACCGGGGGATGGAGTCCCACGGGTGACTGGGCATCGAACACCGCTGAGGAAGGATTTTCATGCAAGATGGTGTCACATTCTTGAGTCGTGTCGTAAAGAAGCTCAGAAGGAAACAGGAAGAGTTTGGATTCAGCAAGATTGAGGATGTTGTTGTGATGACCGACATCGTTATGAAAAACAGAGCTTTTATATTCTCTGGTATCTCGCTGAAGTGATCGGCTGCAATGCCACCGGAGGCCGCAAATGCATTGCCTCGTCATTGATGTGGAGATGTTATAAGCCACAAACTTGCATTAAATCCATACCTTTCGTTGTACGGCGGTGAATGGAAGTCGTATATTGCATCAGAGACCTAATTAGAAACTTCATGTTGCATCACGGAACTGGTTAAGCACATCGTTTCGAATTCGGCGCGTGTCATGCATGGGACCAAACACGAGAAGTCCTGGATATCGACTCATTATCGACGATATGACAGACCACTATTTATTGGAAAGGAGTGCGGATTCTATCATTGATGAATTTTTCCTGAACAGGACATCAATGCTGAAACTTCATTAGCAGGTCTTCCAGTAGGAAATAGTCCAGAGTTGATGCCTTGGGACTGTTTCCTTTACAAGGACGTCTGCGATGCTTTTACTAGATACCAAGGACTCACTGAGCATTTCGCTCATTACGGTCAGAGGAAATTATGCTCTTCAGATCCTAAAGGATGGACAGTGGATTCTTGCGAATAGTGGACCCTAATCTGGGTCCAGACGTAGGCTGCCCGACTAGCATCAGGATTATCTAGGATATCACGAGGTGTACGGGGCCCATCTCCTGGCTATAATAGACGCATAAGGAAATACGGTGCCGAATCTGTGCAGTCGGTCTAATCATAGGCGCCTCTATGGAGTAGATCACTGAGGAGGAACGAGAGTAAAGAAGCCCTGTCCTTCATTGTCTGGGTCCATGCTGATGCAAAAAAACGCTGCTACATTATTTCCTCCCAATTACATGTAGAAATTGCCAAACATAATATCATTATTCAACCTTCATTGATGTTGATGATGTATTGCTCAAAATCAATTCCTTCTTTCGGCTCTAGTTTTGTACTTTGTTTAGCAATGCCGCTGATAGGTTGTTTTATCTAATTCCGTGTGGAATATGAAAATTATTTGTTGTGCGCATAGCTACAGTACAATCTTATCTTCATTAATCGGACAGCACATCAACAGGATCATTTGGTCGTTAGTACCATCCAACACCGAGTTGGCCATGTCAATTGCAGTCTGTACTATCCAGAGATATCTTGCGTTGGAGTCCATCACAATTGAAGGACTTTTCACATCTTTTCTTAGCTATCTGTCCGGCGAGTGCTTTGTCGCTGTTATGGACCAGTTTGCTATGCACCTCACCCACCTCAGGAAAAGTAAAAATATCCTGACGAAAAAGCGGTGGTTTCCTACCACAGGCAACGTTGACTTCCCAGATTCTTCGCTTCCTGATAAGCAATTGTTGGAGACGATTTACTCAAGATGAAGCGCATACTAAAGAGGCACTGCCTGACACGAGTGAAGGGGGACCTGTAAAGATATCTGCATCGTATACAAGGCGTGATGTCCAATTTCTTATAAAATTTCTGTACACTACAGCAAAAATTGCGATGGACCACCAGGATGCTGCGCTTGTATGCTTAACGTCGCATGTATTCGGCCACGCATCTGATGTATTGTTTGTCCCCGAAAAAGATCTACCCTTCAGCACCAACATAGTACATGTCCTTAGGCTGATCCGCGTCAAGACGTCCGATCAAAGAGACCTCTCACTGACCCCCGATTGAAGGCATTCGAAACATGTCCAGTTCATACAATCGCAGTCGTCCTGCTTACGCAGACCGCACCATGCGTCTCACTACTACCCCAGCTGGTCTCAAAGAATATTTACGAAGAGCCCCAGACCACAGCCTCCATCCCGCTGTTGGAGCTTCCAGGGGTAAATTACAAGCTGAAGCGAGAATCAAGCAAGACGGACCTTTACTTTGCTTCATGAAGCGGGCTTTAATGATCCCCAGCTGCTTGATTCGAATAATTCGAAAGTCCATAAAGTCGGCAGGTACGACCATAGAGCTAACGTCAAACTCTTTCAGACGTTACGATGCTCAACACGCTAATGGCGATCCTCAATTGAGCGCACAATTGTATTCGACCGGGGTGCATCAAATCTAAAATCGACCATTGTGTTGTATATTTATCGTCCACGAACCACGATTAATGCTAAAGATCGGAATTCTCCAGCTATAACGAGTACGGGGCGATTTCCGTAATACCATCCTCCAATTCTATAAACAATAACGATTCTTTACAAACTAATGTTTTATGTACCTACTATTCGTAGTGGATAATAATATGATCTAATTTTTTCAAAATTTAATTTATTTTAAAAAACTTAAATTAATTCATTTGCTTTTTCAACAAAAAATTTCCTTTTTTAACAGGTTTTTATTCTAAAGATTTAATATTAGAAGTGGCTTTTGCAAGTTTTAGTGAAACAGGACATTTTGCGTACTGGTTAGGTACTATTGGTGCTTTTTTACAGCTTTTTATTCAGATCGTTTATTTTTTTTTGCTAAAAACTGTAAATAAAACTTTAATGAGCTCTCTATTAATTTATTATTTTTTGAAATTCCTATCACTATTTATTACTCGTAAAATCTGCTGAAAAAGACGTATTTTCTAGAAAAATAAAGCCCATTTAATTACGATAATATAAAATGCCCCAGACAATAAAATGATATAAAATAATGGCTACATGTCCTTGTATACTAAAGTTAACGTGGTACATGTAAATATCCATATCTTTAGTCACATCTTAATTTTCATTGAGCGGCTGCGCTCGAATACTACCCTGAAAGGGGAGCCACGGAGCGGGTTCTGCCGCGGGAATGCTGCGCTCCCAGTCTTCCTTGTGGGCGCGGACGTCACAGGGAAGATGTGCTCGTATCTTTGTGTCGCCATCACCCCCCCCCCGCGGCCGTAACGTGGACAACCGGTACTGATGTCTTTTTGGCATTGATGGAATTGTTTTCTGATCGTTTTTATTAGTGTTGTTAGTGTTTTTTAATGCTATCTTTAGTACTATCTTAGTATTTGTTTAAGATGCTCATGCCAATGTTGCTACGAACGCTGATGTTGTAGCCGTTGTCGTTGTGTAATTTATGATGTTGCTGTTGCTTTTGTTGCTGCTGCTGCTGTTAGTGCTGTTGCTAATGTCTTTGTTATTCATATACACGTTGGTATGGTTGTAGTTGTTGGTACTGGTGCAGCCGTTGTTTTTCTGCTACTACTTCTCATTTTGCTGCTACTGCTCTTGCTCCTGCTTATAGTGCTCGTGATGTTACTACTATTTCGTGGTGTTTTTGGAAATACAGTGCTTGCGTTATTGTTGTTTTAGTTGTGAGATTATAATCCGCTTACTGCTCGTACGCTAAAGTATCAAAAGAATAGTAAATCATTAAATCGACTATCATGAACCTATTCTATCAGTTTGACTCTCATTTTACTAATTTGAAGGCTTTACCAGTGCTGATTGCGACACTTCGGTCTTGTTGCAGGGATTATATGGTGTTGTGAATGATTTTAAACTACGTAGACAGCTCGCTGAACGTAGAGAGCATAAGATGTAAAGAAAGTCAGATGTATCAGCACAATGCGTGTATATGGTGATTCGAAAAGGTTATGTTCTCATCAAAGCACCATGTCATTATATGTGTACTACACTAACTTTAAGCATACAAGGACATGATGTCCTTGTTTATTTTCCAATTTATCTGGGGAATTTTCAGGCTACGGATCGTAACACAGTCCTTTTAGGTCCTGACATAGTCCGTCAAAACGTAACCGGTTGATGACATCATTAAAATTGTCGTATTTGGAAACAAACTGGATGGGGCATACTCTAATCCTTATTGGTCAATCCTTTTTATCTAGTTGTAGAGGAACGATAAATCAGCTATAGGTGTAACGGGGTACCTTTGTTTGGGGTGCCACGAAATTCAAATACACTAGTACGTGCAGAGAAAGCTTGTCTACTTGAACGACTCGTTCAAGTAAAGGGTAAAAAGAGAACTGTCTTTAATATAGTTTAGCTGTCAATATAGCTTCAGTCTTTATCGAACTATATTAATCTACAATGTCGTATGACAACAACCTGCTCACCACTCATTGCGCGCCCAGCAACGATTGGTGGTAATCTATGGTTGATATGTCTTTTATCAACCAATCTTGGAGCAGCGCATGAATATCATTCTACAAGGGGATAATTTTTCTTCAATATTATTCATCTTGGATAATATTTGCAGAGAATCGTCACGCTAGACAATCTCCCTATTGACACCGTTTGGTGCCAATATCATGTAACGGGCTACCCCGAAACAGTTATGGTCGCATTCTTCGATTGGTAGCATGCCAAGCTTTCTCCATCAAGAACTTCTCTTATCATTCGTTTACGACGTGTGGTAGACCGCGCTTTGTTTTGCAGGGCATCACCGGGCACGATTATTCCCGTTCTCTTATCCACAACATCGACATAAAGCTTCAAAATACACAATCCACCCGCATCACAAATTGATAAACACACACCACAACGCATTTCCTCGCCGTCACCCCCTACATGGGTATATGAATGTACAGAACTTGATCCAGTTCTATGGCCTGAATGACCTGTGTCAGAGGGCGATCTCCAGAGCTTGCTCTTTACCTTATAGTTGACAGAATGAACACTGTCGATATCAAGTATCCAGCCCAGCGTACGGATGCATTCAACTGATTCGTCTGTACACAAGTGAACAGCTCTATTTTTTATCGTGTTAGTTTACTTTACCGGATAGGCATAGTGATGTCCGTGTCACATATAACTACCAGTTGAAGTTCGACACGAACTAAAACGGACTGTGGTTCGAGTGTTGCTACGTCTACCGCTGCCCAGTGTACGTCTCGAGATGTCAAGACAGTGCTGTCATGCTTTGCATGGGCGCGACAAACTACTGGGCAAGTTCGCACGGGACTTGACATAGGCATGATTGTAAGCATTTTCTAGACAATTAGTTGGAGCTGTCAGATATGTGTGGTTGTCCGCGCAACCAGGAGCTCAGTCATAAGAAAGTGACGAGCGGGTTGGTGCCCACAGAACTAGCACGCATCTTCCTCGTGTATGACAGCACACAACAGAGTGAGTGAGAAGGTGAGGTATATTTAGGTACGCGTACGACCTGCTATATCCTGTCATCCGGCAACAAAGTTACCTAATCGACCGCTACTTTATATACTAGGTAGCGCTAGTCCTCGCACAGCAGAGCGCCTACGCGCAGACTCCTGTCTCGAGATAATCAGGTTCCTCGAGGTCAGCCCGGGGCCCTGTATGACGAGTTGATGGTCGGCTTGAGAGGTCTCCAACCAATGATTGACATCAGTGTCAAGGAATTTTGAAGCCTCCTGGACCAGACCTGGGTTCGAGATAGCGTGCGTTTGTATAGAAGATCCCGTGTCCATAGCGATATTTGCCAGTCGATCCGCCATTTTGTTGAAGGTGCGGTATTGATGTCCCCAGCTGGCGACATCAATATCGTTAGCGATGGCACGTGCTTCGTTGAATAAACGCACCAAGTGCGGCTTGCGTGGAGGGTGTTGTGTTCGGAGTTGAGAAAGTACAAGCGCACTGTCCCCAATGACGTGCAAGGGTGAGTAGTCGCCTGTCTTTGCTTGCCGAAGACCATGCACGAGCCCCCAATATTCAGCGACATTGTTAGTGGTATCGGCAGATGCATAAGCCATACTTGATACCCACAGAACGCATGCGGCGTGAGTCGGAACGCGTAGTCGTACAATCACAGACCCGGCTCCACCTGGACCTGGATTTCCGCGGGACCCGCCGTCAAAGAAGAGGAGGTAAAGCTCGCCAGGGAGCCGGTCGATAGGCCGGACTAGTAACGAAGGAGGTTCATCGTAGCAGAGTAGGGTATCAGCCAAGGCCGACCGTACCTGCGCAAACAGTTGCCCATCTTCCCCCATCTCGGGCTGATAGGTTGATCGCCGAAACCGTCTGACCGACCGACGAAAGCTCGTCTTGGCGCTGGCTATGTGCACCTCCTGTGATAACGAAGAGTCTTCCATGCGGCGGAGGCGCTCGACCCAGATTGCATGAAGGGTTGTTGATACGACAAAACGCCACAGCTCTATAGCTGCCGGAAATATAGCAGCCTGAGCTTTTATTAAATTAGTCCCTGGGTCCATGGATTGCTTAATTACATCCCAGGCGTAGGGTGGAATCGCCGGGAGGTCCAGGCCAAACACCCAAACATTCAATTCAGCCTCCTGGAAAGTTCCAAGCCATCGCCACCGATCAAGGAGAAACTCCCAGTGACGACGCGCACTAGAGCATGTCCAAAAGATATGGCTTGCCAGAGCTGGACCAGCATTCGCACACTCAGGGACCGGGCAAGACAGATCTTGCTTCGCCCAATTCCAGAGCGGAAAACTGTTACTCTTTAGCCTATACAGCGTCTGAGCGTTTGTCGGAAAGGACGCTCGTATTCGTCGAATGTCCCTCCAAGTAATCAATGTTGTACCTTCCGAGATCACGTGAAAGTCCGTCGTTGCCACACGTTCATCAAGAAGTCTAGTCCCTACAGCACGGCGCCGCCGGGTGATAATCTGTTTCAGTTTACGTCGTTGCGGCCGCCACCTTCGTCGTCCAGCCCACATGTGGACAACGCGAGTAAGCGCCGGATGCGCTCCAAAGTGAACAGGAGACTTACTAGCTGTTGACGCGGCTATATCGCATGCCTCCATCGACGCGACCGGTTGCACTCCACATTCCATGCCCGTATCGAAATGTCTGAGCGACTTACCGTCACCAGTTAGAAGCCAGTCATGGAACTGGTGCACCTTTGTAGAGTATGCAATCACAGACCCAGGCTCCAGTGGTCGATATACCAGTGACGGGAAATTGTAAAGCAGCGCGAGGCAGAAGGACCCAAAATGCCGTCGCTTTGCCATAGACTGGGACGCCATGTCACGCGTAGGAGAGAACAAGACCATGCCACTCTGCAGGGTCGTCCACGTCATTGTCTCGCCAAGGTAATTCAAGTTTCGCGCAAAGTCGGCCCCGTTCAAGCTGTATGCCTTACCCTGTCGATCTCTGAGCCACGACATATCCTTAAGCGTGGCGTATGCCAGCCACCGGTGGTCAAATCGCCCTGATGCTGCTACATCAGCTCGCATCCCAACGCGCAATCTGTCATCAATAACCCGCCGAACATCAATTGTGACACTACCGTCTTCATTATAGGCGACTGCTGCTCTCGACGTAAACGACAAGGCTCGTCTACAGACCTCGCTGACCGCACCTTGGCGTGCATGTTGAGCCGAAGAAAGTCCAACAATTTCAGACCCGGTTAGCCAAAGCGTTGCGCGATATCGAGGGAGCTTGTCTTCCGTCCAACAAGGTGTAATGTAAGCCGTACCCGACCCGGTAGATCCCCATAAGAAGTCACCAATTAGTAAGTCTCTCGAAGAGACAGTAGCAGCCCATTGTCCAACTGCTGTTGCCGCCATCGTCATCAATTCCGTCCGAATACAGGGAACCGCTAGTCCTCCCTGCTGGATAGGTAAGGCCGCTATCTCGGAAGATACCCAGGGTCTGGATCGCTTTCTATCTCGGACACCCCATACAAAGTCCATTATTAAGCTGTGCAACCGGGTAACCACTGCGGGAGGAGGCCAACAGTGCCGTGCTAAGAAGTTAATTTTGGGCACCGCGATAGCACTTGCTAGCAGAGCACGTTGTTCCACTGTGTGCGTCTTCTTGCGGGCTAAGACAAGTCGGCTCCATATAGAACGTATGCACTTATTCCAGTTATCGGCCACCGCGTCCTGTTGTCCCACCAATACACCAAGATACCTGCAAGAGTCACTAGGGGCCTGCAGAGTGAGACCACAGGTGCTAAAAGGTTGCTCTGATCCGCGAGGGTCCAGCTCAATGATCATTGATTTCGACCGATTCGTCCGGAGACCCGACACATGAGCAAATTCCTCTAGAATAGCTACAACAGGCGTAACCGAGGACCGATCGCGAAGGTAGACAGCAGTATCGTCAGCGTATCCCGATACTTTGAACTCTGTAGCCCGCCCTCCAGTGGAGATAGGCACCCCCCGAATGTCCTCCCTCGCTTGTAGCACCCGATAGACACTATCGAGGGCTAAAATAAAGAGAAGTGGCGCAAGGGGACATCCTTGCCGTATTCCACAAGTAACGTCACGTCGACGAGAGCGGTATCCATTCACAAGAAATCGGCAGGTAGTGTCGTGGTGTAATGCTGCCACGACTGATACGAAATGATGCGAAAACCCAAGCCATGTCAGAGAGGAAAGCAGATATGGACGTTGCAACGTGTCGTAAGCCTTGGCAAAATCGAGAAGTAGCACAATGGCTCCATGTAGGCTGCTGTCCAAAGTCGCAGCTTTGCGTACCGTCGCGAAAATGTCAAGAGCTGTATGGATCGACCTCTTTGGAACAAAACCAACTTGAGCCGGCAAAACGAGATGCGACAATAATGGCCGTACCCGAAACGAAAGAATCTTGGTAAATAACTTGTAGTCGCTGTTGAGGAGAGCAATCGGGCGATGATCGAGCGGCAAGGCGGAGGACGCAGATTTCTTCAAACACTGAATGTTCGCTTCACCGAAGGAAGACGGGAACACGCTGCACGTAAGCCATCTGGTGTAGAATGTAGCGAGTACTGGACTGAGCGCTTCCGCGTAATCTCTGTAAAACGTGTTGTTAATTTCGTCCGGTCCCGCGGCTTTCCCACGTTTCAGCCTCTTTAAAGCCGCACTCACGTCATTGGGGGAAACGGCCGACATCACAGTAGTGTCATCAACTGGTCCTGGCGGGACTGCCCGGGAAAGAAAAGTGGCGGTAGCGTCGGGACAGGCAAAGGAATGAGTCATAATACGCTCCCAGTCATCCGCCATTTCATCAGCCAACTCTTGAGAATGATTTGGCCCGTATACAGCCTTTCCGCCCAAAGAAACAATGGTGTTGTCGTGAAATTTAGTCGCCACCCGGGCGAAAAAACGTCGAGATGTTTCTCCAGGAGTATACGTGTGTTGAACAAGAAGGCGCTCTTTTTTGGATCTCTGCCATAAGCGTCGACACTCCGCAACATTACGCCGCAGTCCAACCGGAGTATCGGTGGTGCTAGGCTTGTTGCAGTCCTTATGAGCTCCTGGTGGTGAGTTATCAAGTGTACGCGCCACCAATAGAGCTGCGTCCAGTCTTACATAGAGCCGACGTAGCCGCTGCCGATAGCTTGTTGTCATACCTTGACGCGCGGTCTTGGTCGTCGCCAAAAGAACTTTGCGAAGCCTGATCTTCCATTCATCCCACCAGTCGGCCAATCTACGGGCCGTGATATAGTCCGACGGCGGAACAGAAATAGTCTCGTCCGCTTTAAGCTGTGCCAGCTTAATGGCCACAACAATCGCTTTATGCGCGGCTGTGTTTGCACAACCTGGAACAGGGTACACGTGCCTCGGCTTACGTACACGGACCACATAACGCGGCACTCCAATCCTGATACTGATGCCATTGTGGTCAGCTGCTGGACCAGGAACTGACAAAGCAACGCCACGAATCCAATCAGCATGGCGAGAGCTCACATACCACCGATCCAGTCGGGAACTAGCCAATCCACCGCCCGGAAGAGTGTAGAAATAAGTGTGAGAGGCCGCATGAAACGCCGGTACATCTCTTTCGTCTTCGGCCATCTCCAGATCACCATCAAGAACATCGCTAAGCTGCACTCGGCCGAGAAGCCGCCGAAGCGCCAAGGAATCATGTCTTCCTGGCGGCGAGACAAAAGAACGGTCAAGTCGCGGCTCCAAAGTACAGTTGAAGTCCCCTCCAACAAACATGGGTCCTTCGTATCCCTGAAGAATAAGTGAAAGGCTCGAGAACAGCGCCTCTCTTTCAGTCTTGGTACTTGGGGCGTAAACGTTTACAACAAGAACTGTTTCGCCCATTAGACAGACCCGGACAGCCATCCAATGCTGTGTCCATTGATCCTCATACCACGGAACCATTTCCGTAATTGTTGAGTATGGGTTTAATAAAATAGCCACACCTCCACGAGAGAACTCGGACTCGGTCCACAACGAGCGTCCGAGTTTGTGCACGAATCCCCAGGAGGAGTTGTAAAGCTTGTCCAGAGGAGCTGCCTCACCTAAAGTGACCCGCGTTTCCTGTAAAAGGACCAAATCGATGATTCCCCTGGCTTCGCTCTGTCGGAAGTGGCTGAACCAAGTTGCGCAATGTTCCGGATTCTTGGGAAATCCTGCGACATTCTGCGAATGGATACCTATGCTGTTGTCGCGTGGAATACATGATGTCTTAAAAAGGCGTCTTTGACGACGTTGTGGCATGTGCCGCGACGATGCATCCTCTAGCTCAGTCGAGACGCCCTCAGCACCTAGAGTCCAGCAGTTGACCATCTTTAGCGATAAGGTCAAGGGCCGGCTGCCAGTTGGCAGGTTTGCATATAATGCTAATCACCGCCGCGCGCACCTCTTTGGAGAGGTGATATAGTACAGCCTTGGTTTGCGGCATTACCACGTTCGTCTTAACCTCAATAGGTGCGAGCTTCGGGAGCAATAAACACAGAACATTGAGGACTCCCCACTGATCCAAGTCAGAAAGCGGTTCGACGACAGTCGCGCACAGCAAATCGGGCTGTAGCTTACTAAAGCGTCTCCAGCGTTGTATATTGTCCGTCGTTCTCCATCGAATATGACCGGTTTGCGCGTCTGCCGTGGCGGCCCAACCCTTGCACAGCTCGCGAAGTTCTTCATCTGCGTGTGTGGTGTGTCGCCGAATTACAGCCAGTTGAGATTCACTGTTGATGGAATGTCCAAAAGACCGTAGGGTTTCACCCGACATCGAGGCAAGGTTAGCAACAGGATAAGGTAGTCCACAGACGAGTCCCGCCAAGTCCAAGGAGCACGCGTTTATCCAGGCCATTTGCCCCTTAGGTCCAACTGGCATTGTAGTCGGTAGTGCAGCCATCGCTTTGTGCAGGCTAACCCATTTGCGAATCGCCGCTGTGTTCAATGAAATTTGTTTCATGCTCTCCGGCACTGCAGCAGCCGCCACCGCAGCAGATGCGCTATCTGGAATTTTGCGAATCCTTGTTGCGCGTAAAGTCTGATCGTGAGGATCGGGAGCGCGACATTGTTCCATCGGGGACCGGACCGCTACCTGCGTACAGAGACCACCCATGCTAGCGGTAGGACGTGTTAATAAACTAGAGGCACCCGTGTCGGAAACGTCGATGACTCCAGACGAGGCCTTAAGCTCTTTCGCAATTGCCTTGGCTAGATCCGCTGGAATAGGTACACTAGCGGCACAGGGAGGCGGAGTAACTGCCCCTCCATTTAAATCATTCAAGCACATAGTGTTCCCGAACGTAACCGTGCTCTCCGCCATAGTAACATCGAGATCTTGGGGACGCTGCCCGTCCGATTCTGGGGGGCACATCGGCGGTAGATCCGGTGGACCCGGATCACGAGGCGCCTTCGCGGTAGGTACCGTACCAAGAGGTTTATCGATCGGCTCACTTGGTACACCCCGTTTGCGGCGCACATACGAAGCCAACAAGCGTTGTATCATGGACCGACTCCGCTCTCTACTTCTTGCTGCCATCTCCGTAGGCATCTCGCGAGGTGGTGTATCATCTTGCGGGGCCGTATCTTCGGTCACAGGCTCCGGTTTCGGTGTAATCTTCGCCAACCTACGTGTCAGTGTTTCGAGGGTTTTCGCTGCTATCGTTGCATCCGCATTCGCTCGGTTCGCCGTCGCACCTGCGGTGCGGTATTCGTACTCCATCCTCAGCAATTTCTCACTGACTTCTTCAGGAGAAGTAGGTTCTCTATTACTCGTTTTCTCAGTAGCAATAGCCACTTCGAGTGCCTGAGCGTGAGCCGCAAAGTAGCATGATTTCGTGGTGTCTGCCGCGCGCTGCTTCTCTTCGGCTGCTAAATTAAGTTCCTCGACCGTTTTGTGTGCGGTTGCTACTTGCGATCGAACGGCCTCAAGGGTCGCCTCTTTTAAATTCGTCGAAGGTAGCGCCGAATCGACCCCCGGATCAATCGGTGCAGGTTCTGCAACTTCCTCATGAGCACCACTCAATATGTGGTCCAGTTCCCGAATCGCCAGCGTGCGCTGGGTGTCCGCCTTCGAAGAAGCGGAGGGTGGTGGCGAAGAATGGACCGTGGTCGATTGCCCTTTTTGACGAACAGTTGCCTTAGTCTGTTGAGGTGGTTTCTTTTTGTCAGCGACCGTGTTCGTGGAAATAGTTTGGGCAACAGCCTTCGACTTCGGGAGTGGTGACTTTCTTGCACCTCCATCTTTGTTGAACTGCAGATGCTTGGGTAGCTTCACAGCAGGTCCTGTTGCCCGACTAGCCGAAACATCTGCGGGGCGCACATCCCTCTTTTTCTTGTTCGCTCCAGGATCGAACCACTCGTTCGTCATTGGACCACTGACGCGAGTAGCCCCCGCCCCGAACGGCCTGTCCACCGGCAAGCGGAGACGTGTTCGGAACTGACGACTGCCCAGCACAAGGAGGTACCTGCGAGACCTCACTTAACAGTGGGGCCTTGTCGCCATCAGCCTTTAATTTCGCCGTGGTTGCCACCAAAGTATCCGCCAGTCCAGAGACATGCTGCAGGCGACCGGCAACGTCCAAGTGGTTAAAAGTCAACCCACTGACGTGAGGAGGAGCTATAGGAATACCAGTAAATTCTCGGTGATGCTGAATTTGAAAAGCGCCTTTGCGTCCACCACACTTAGCACTCGAGTGATATGGCGAATAGCAGGAAAAACAGGGAACGCGTTGAAAGTGACGAAAATGGTGGAGAAAGATCTCCGTTTCGGATGTTGCGATGTGCGTGACCAGCTTGAGTTGCTCGGGACATGACACCATGTCAAAAGTTGCCACGAAAAAGTTGGAATCATATGCCTCCGAGCCGAGTGGGCACCCACGAGACACGGATGTGACCGTACAAGCCACACTAGACGCCAATATAGCTTGAACCGTGCTTGCCGCCACTCCATTGACCAAAATCCGGACTTGGTATTGCAATTGGTGTCTACCGCTTGACGTGGCTAATAGCGAAGGAGCAGTAATGTCTTCGCGCTCCATAGTGGCCGGGCACAACAGCCTAAGACGCTTTCCGCGAAACAAAATCATCTTTGCATGCCAGCTTGCTGCTGCCGCTTGATCCGGCATAATGAAAGTCAGTCGCCTCGTTTCGGCATCGTAACTGGTCCGCTTGGCGCCCTTGACCAATTCCCGACTCATGACATCGGACTCCGTCTGCCCCTCACTGCGTTCCAAGAGCTGGAGTAGCAACGTTTTCTCGGCGATGTACTGAGGCATGCGCACGTACGGAGGGACAATCGCAATGACCTTCCCTTCCAGGTACTCTTCGAAAAAATCAAGCATTACAACTCGCGTAGCCCTCGGGTGCGTGCACACCAAAAATCCAGGCGGAGACTGGAGCATGATAGCCCCCATCATCCATGCCGCTAGAGCCTCCTCTTCAAGCGGAATCATCGAACGGAGATCATCGTCTGATCTGTCGGTCCACACTCTCGTAGCCGCCCGCACCAGCACCCGGGTGTGGTCAGCAGATGAGCGCTGACTCCCATCCTCTTTGGAGTCAGCGAAAAGTCCCGGACCCTGCCCGTCTACCGTGTCGGCCCTTCCCTGCTCTGTTGCAGCTCTCACCGGTCCCGAGCCCGCAGACACCAACAAGTGAGGCTCATACGCCGACCCGAGATTTCGAGATCGAGCCGCAACGTCACAGGAAAAAGCTCCCGCGATAGGAGAGGACCCGACCCGCGGTTCTTTCCCCTGTGCACCCCGTTCTGTAGCCACTGGATACTGACTATCTCCGTCAAGGAAGGAGTCAGCCACTGCGGCCGCGTACGAACGCCGATCAGTACGGGTCCCACAAATAGGCGCAGTAGTTGGGGGGCCGAGGCCGCCTGTCCAAGCTCGGGATTGGTCAGAATTCCCGTGCCCATCCCCTATCGTCTCGTCTTGCCCCGTCTTTTCCACTCCTATCGGCACGCTCTCGCCCGACACGGGCGTGGGCACACTCGAGCCACCTACCTCGTCATCACTCCATGCCACTCGCGTACGGTGCCCGGTTCCTCCTTCCACATGTGCGCCGTTGTCGAAGTCACCGCGCTCTTGGGTCGGCGAGGGCTTATTACTAGGCGCTAATTCGCCGATGTATGCGTGCATACTGCGTTGACACACTCCCCGGTGCCACAACGATTTGATTGCGTGATTGGCCGCAAATCTGGAAGTGACAGCACACAACAGAGAATTGGCCACCTCGACCGCCTTTCAACGGACGATTAAAAAACGAAAAGCAGAACCTTTAACGAGCGGACAGGACTGTTCCATTGCATCATTGACATCGTGTCTTGTGTTTAACTATACAAAAAGACATAACCGCTACCGTCGCTCTCTTAAGCCATTTAGGATTGCTCCGAGTTCCACATGCACCACTAATGCGTGACTCCTACATGTACGCAACCCTATCTAACTACCGACACACTTACTTGCGTCACACAATCCAAGAACCAAATATTATCCGACCGTCCTCTTTTTTCTGATAAATCCCATTCAAGCTACACCAATGCAGCTACGAATGGCAGTATCGCTTGGCGTTGTCTAGTGGTGCCCATTGACAAACGGACTCACGCCCTTCTTCTGGTCCAAATCCGCAAACGCGTGGTTCACATCTCGGTGGTTGCACTCGTCCGCGCGCACGCACTTGACCATGTCGTATATGGACGCGCTCTCCGGCAGCTTGTAGTACGTCTGTGCAATGAGCGGCGCCTGCTTCTGCTTCCACGCGTCCAAATGGCCATCTTCAATGTCCTTAAGCAGACACGTGTACGTCTTAACCGCCTCTTCCTCCAAGTACCCCACAAAGCGGTGACATGTCTTTGGGGACACTAAATACGTGAGGAAAAAGCCGTTGAAGAACACACCCTGGGCAGCGACAACAAGGGCACGGAAAAAGTAGCCTGGCTGCTTAATGTTCATAAAGATGAGCAAGTGCATGCGCTCGTTCTCGGCCTCTTCCAAAAGTGTGTGGATCCAGCCGTAGTCACGCTTCAGTAGACGAAGGGACCGCAGGTGACGCAACATGCCGCCGACCATACCGGGCACTCCCGCCACGGATTCGAGGAAGAGGCAGCGGTTAAGCCAGTCATTTTCCGTCATAGTCCCTCCGGGTCCACGGTACCGTGAAACAACATCAAAGCCCGTGCGAAGAGCCTTGACAGCAAAGAGCGCAACCCGTTCGTACATCTGTGTCGTTGGGTGATGCGTCTGCTTCATGGTCGAGATCTCGTTGAGGTCGTACACGGCGCGGGTGATCGGGTGGTCCCAAATAGGTTCGCCCATCTCATTGGTCGTATGACGCGAAGCCGACTGCTTAAAGTGCAATATGTAAGCAGGTTCGTTGGTCACATCGGTGGGTTTCGACTCGCTGGAGGCTTTGGGTTGAGATGGAGGCTGGGCGACGTCATTGGGCTGGGAACCGACAGCTGTGCTTGAAGCGTACCGGGTCGTGTGGGACAACCCGCTATTGCTGCAGCTGAGCCGTTGGCGTCTGAAGAGACTCATGGCTTGACGACGTAACATTGGGGTCACGACCGACCGCTCCATGAACTTGGCAGTGGATACGAATGACATTGTTCGACTGAAATGTGGTAATGGCGTGAAGCTCTGAACTGAAGGTGGCAAATTCAGGACTGACAGCTTTTTGAGATCTGGGTCAGTGCCATTCAATTTTATAAAAAAGGACGTCGCAGAGTCGTAACTGAAGTTGAATTGGCAGATGTGAGACCAGGCGGTGCGGCAGTAAGTATACAAGAGCAACATGCGAACGGGGCCAAACTGTCAGATACTATTCGTGACATTGCGTGTTGAATGAATTTCGCCAAAGTGGGGCTACAATAGAATGGAGCCGGAGAAGTAGACCTGGATGTAGTGAGGAAGTTAACCCAGTAAGTCGTCAGAGAGCACGTTTTGGTATTCACGCGGACCAGGATGATCCAGAGCCGCCAATTCTCTCTGTAACCCACTGCGGCTGCTGCCCAGATATTACGCCAGTTTTGAGCGCGTGATTGTTTGTCGTCGTTTCGCATGCAGCTAGCAGCTGATCCGACAGCACTGTCACTTTCAGAATTTCCAGGAATAGATACTGCTTCAGCGTGATTGTTCGCGTGCACATGTTTTACGAAGCTGGTGGCAAAGGACACGCAACATCTATGTTTGTAGCTGCATCATTACGATGTATCCAGATCGTCTCATGATTTTCTGTATTCAAGTGAAACGCAATGTCGGCAGCCGATTAGTCGCGGTGCAGGATCCACTGGTAACCAATACGAGTTCTAGAGAGCTTGAAGTTGGTGCGGCTTCCACTGTTTCAGCTCATGCTTCTATAGTCGACAAATGGCAGAGGCAGCAAGAATTGCGCCATCATAGTCTGTTGGCGTGACCTGTGTCGCCAAAATGCAACTATTTAACCAAGATTCTTCTTGGGGCATTGCGTCTGTTTTGTTCATGTCAGTTGGAATTTTAGCGTGCCTGTGTAATTCGATGAAGCGCAATACTGTTCTGGATAAGTTGCACCTTAAGTACCGGTGTCCATCATTCATGAGCCAATCCATTTGCAAAGAGCTGCTTGACTTTTTTGAAACGCTATCTTGCACGTCAACCCATTACGGTCAACATTTGGCAGGGACCAGATCAGACAACGACGACTGCGATCGGACATCAATGGTCTTAATCGTGCATAAGGCACCGACCACGGTGCGTGCTGCAAGAGGAGTCACACCTTACTCGTGTCCCCGTACAAAGATAGTGAGAAGTCTCGTTCTAAGCGAACGCAACTGAGCGCCATTCGACTTTGCAGACATTCCAACAATTCGTGTGGTAAAGATAACTTTGGCACGGCACCATCATGTAACTTCGCATTTGTTTTGAGCTACATACAAAGCAGAAAGTATTGATTTGGCAAGGTACGTGTCATTGCGATCATAGTTCACCTGATAAACATCGCTGGCCTGTCGTGAAGCAAAGTATGGGGTAAACAGCAATCAAAGCGTACGCGTATTGATGATTCTAGGAATCCCTGTTCAGGGCTAGAAGATGTAGTATCTGCCACCTGCCTATAAGCTGTCTGTGGTTGGATGTGTCTTACGTCGAGGATCTTTGCCTCGCAAAAACTGGAAAAATCCGCACCACTACTCCTGAGTTCTGCCATCCGGTGGGTAGGTACAGGAACACTTTTGTTCGAACCTGACCTGGGCTTATGCGTAGATGCTACGCAGTGTCTGAAGCTATCCGCGTCTTCTACAAAGGCAGAATATTCGGCCACATTCTCTCCATTCATCGCAGCGTGGCGAACAACGATGTCTCGTTGCGGTGGGTAGATTCCTGCGGTGAACTCGCATTTGCTGCTGGTTACCATTCCCTGTGAAAGCACGCATTAGCGTCAAACGTAAGCTGCAGAGACGACGCAACGATGGATGGGGCAAATCAGGAAGTCTGCCGAATGAATCGGACGTATCTACGACATAAAAAGCAGTAGCTATGATCGTCTCTGCAGCACTTGATCCCGACCTAAGTCCCCCTTCTGTTATCATTGACCGTGTCAATCGTCGCAGCGACGGAATCGCGACCGTTAAAAGCAAAGTGCAATGTTCTAACATGTACTGGGCGATGTCGGTTGAGCTCTCCGTGCATGCTAAAGCAGGTTTTGGAAACGTGGCCTCCACTCGCGCGCGTGAAGACGCTATGCGCAGATAATGTCTGCGTCATATCGCTGTCTCTGCGAATCACATCACAAAAGCAGTCCGGGTGGAAACGCATTCTTCTGCTATTGCGTGTGTGTTTCTGTAATCGTCATTACGACACAAGTCCTTGCTGTGTCGGTGAGAGCTCGATGATACGAGGAATAAGCAATCACTCTAGTGTGTAGACCCCTGGAACGTCAAAAATGGACACAAATATAACAGCACGATTCAACAAATAACCGGAATCTGTCCTCCGACATACTTTGCGGATCGGTAAGCAAGTCTGTGAAAAACAAATACAACATTATACTACCCCTAGTCACGCACCGAGCATCGAGAACGGCTCAAAAGTAGTAGGTAGCACTGGCCTAAGTCATCAGAAAATAGTCAAAGGTAGTTTGCATCACGATCTAAGTCAGTCAACACTTGCTCTGTCAACGTCTTAAGGCTGACGTTGATAAAGCGTTTTAACGGACATTTCAATCTACATTCGTCCTAGGAGCCATACCTCCAAGTAACCCTAGACTGAACCACGCGCGAGCCGCGAAGCTTCGGCTGCCACTAACAATACCATCACTCCTAGTTTACATTGCTCTCGGTCACAAACTCGACATTATCGGTCACTGCTTCCTCTAGTGATGGTCGATGCTGAGAACATCATCTCCAACATCTCTTCTTCTTATACCTCTGGTGTCAGTAAAGACTTGTCATCGCTCCGAGGGGTGTGTAGAGGAGGAGGAGGGAGTCATGACATACAAGGTATGCTCATAAACATCGAGGACCGCCGCACGTACACGAGGACGCGCAAAAAGGCACCATTATCGCTCAGCTGTACTACCAGATGCCAGGGAACATAACCGTGTGTGTTACGGTCGTGGCTGAGTGCTCCTACGGTTGTGAATTATGTACTTGCTGACCAGGACCGAAAACATGACATTAGCTTCGACGACAGCAACCACCATTTTCTTAGACACGAACATGTACTTCAATGCTCAATACTCCTTCCAGCTACCGTCGTTCTGCTCTTTTCAAAGTTTTATTACCCGCTCGAGCTAGTACTGGTCTTTGTCATTAAGGCATAGCAGCCGGCAGAAAAAGGATTTGATCATGTCGACATGAAGGATCAATCAGGTCATAACGATTGCTTTTTCATCATAGCTCATCAATTAATGTGCTGTCGAAGTGTTAGACGATTCCTTTTCGGACTAAAATCTGTGATTCTAGTGAGGATGGGTGTACTCTATATAGTCATAGAAATGAATGAAAAGGACGGGTAGTTTCCTGATTCGCGCGTATTGGTGACCGCACGTGTACAATCCACACTCTTCTTCCGTTACCCTTCCTTTACACAATCGTAAAATGATGTTCTCTGAAATAGCTTTCCTTGTCGAAGTCTTTGCAAATGCCGTGGCGAAGTTGACAACTCAGCGGTGTCAGGGTCGTGATAGATCGAGGAAAGTCCGTCAAGGTTGATGTAGCTTTTCTTGTTTGCGTGCACCAGAGCGAAACTGCGTAAAGCGACGACGACTTCGCTTTTTGAAAAGATTACGAGTGCGCTGCATCCAGCTGCTGTAATGACTGTGCTTTCCTTGATGGTGCACCACTCATTTCGATTTTCTATTGACAATTGCAGCTTTGTAAATCAGTAGGAAAGCTCTTTACGGTGTTCTCTTCGATAAAGTGTCCTTCATTAAGTTTTAAACTGCAACTGTATCAATTTGGATGGCACCGAATTTGCTCTGTAGACACTAATTTGTGTGATGTAAACTACCGCCAGAATGAGAACATGCAATTCTTTAGAAGGAGGAACGTTGCATCCAACTCGTTGCAGCATGATAGGGTACATGTAAAAGGTAAGCTACGCATGTGGACACATCCGTTATTGTCAAAAGCACAGACATGAAACTTAAGGAGACAGGCTTTGTGCCGTGATATATAAATGCTTCATAAAACTGAAAATAAGGTGAACAAATAAATGACGGTGTATGATTGGCACCTTTCAATCAAATCCAGCGAACGCCTGCGACCGGAACAATGCATACGTATCTTTACGATTAAAAACCGACTACCTGTAGCAACTGTAGGCAAACAATGTAAAGGAGACTTCATCTCGTTACGATAGGATACAGCAATTACGAAGGGAGAGGAAGACGAGCTAATGAGGGGAAATAGGAGTGATAGAATATGATTTCTATTCTGCATGGGTTGGGTTGGATACATGAATTGATTCTGTTGCTTACCATCAGTCGAGTCCGCTTTTGATGAAATGAGGGTATAATTGCATACCGTTGTTGTAATCGATATACAGCTAGTTCGTCCATTAATTTATTTGCTTTGATGTTCCGTGACGACCAGTTCATAAACGCAACCACTGCAATGACTTCCTGATCTTCATTCCCTGATTCGTTCCTTTTGATTTTGGTGATTCCGGTAAGCTCCTTTTCAATCACAGTGAAAACACAGTTGTTGCACTTCAGTTGCTTGTAAGCCCTATTTGTAGTATTTTCGGATTTCCTCCAGCCACAAAGGCATCAAAAGCTTCGTGCATGGCATCCTGCAATGATCACATTTTTCAAACAAAGAAAACAAGGCGTTGACAAGTCAGGTTGAAATTTTGGAGTGACAAGGCATGGGAACGATTCGAATCCTTCACTTTTTGTGAAGCGCGCGTAGAATGACGCAACACATCGTATACAGGATAATGGACAAGATCAATGACTGGATTTTATTGGTCAAACTATGTGAGATTAGCACTGCGACCTGCGGCTACCTGCTGCCCTCGCGTTCATTCCCGTCACATAGAATCAGCATCCGCTACTGAAACGTACTCATAAAGCCACTTCACACAGTGTTTTGTCCTCGTGAGTGCAGAGGTGAAGATAGCAGCTCAGCGGCTGGATTTCCCGGGGTTAGATAGCGGGAAGCAGGAATAACGCGACTTCATCGTCATTCCGAAGATTTCTGCGACGGGCACCATTCCAAACGATCTACTGGTTGTATCCGTTCGTCAGGTCGTTTCGACTTATTCCACCTTTTCTAGAATCTCGTCTTCAGTGAGATCATGTTTAGCGCTCTCATGTTCATCGATGCGATCAAAGCTCCCAATATCGGCGTGGAATGTCGAACACGCAGCTCCCAGTTCCTGCTACAGCATATCCTACGTCTACTCAACCTCCTTCGAGCTGCATTTGTTCCCCTCTCCCTGATAGCTGTGGAAGATACAAGTGATCCGCTGCACATTTTCATGCGATATCGAAGCAATTCGCGGTGGTTACAGCCGAGATATCGGTACAGTTAGCTACAGCCAGGACATAGTAGTAATCCAGCAAATTTCGTTGTTGTGCCAAACGTTTAACGCTCGTCACTATCAATCGCATTCTTCACGCGGTAGCAGTGGTAGCGTCGCTGATATGCCGAGATGATGCCAACATCTATTGGCTGGATCTTGGCCGTCGTTTTTGGTGGAAGAGGTCGAACCTTGAAGCTGACACATTTCAAGTCATTCATGATATGCGACTAAGCGTTGGCATTTACAAGGAGACGCTCCAATCCACTGCATATATACAGCTTCCAAAAGTTCCAAAATGCAAATGAAAAGAGTTGGGGACGTGTATTACATTGCTTGACTCGAGTCAAACCTAATCGAGAATGCGTAGGTAAAGTACCGTGGGCAGTAGTCTGTACATCGGTAGTCTTGTGGTTGGTAGACTGTCGTTTTTTGTGGTTCTTTTGCTCGTTGAAGTAGTGATGTCCCTTTCGTTTGCTACGGTCTGGTTTTTGATCAATGTCAATGATTTTACTTTACACCTATTGCCACAACAATCCGCGAAGTTGTAAACTCCGATAAGTCATAAAATCGCCCTCCCCAAACACAAAACATATCGGAGGGAGCACTGCGTACCACGACGACGCCGATACCACACGAACGAAAGAGCGTAATCCATATCATCCGAATCCGGCATCTCGGTGCTGATTTGTAGCGGCTGTTTTCGGTGTTGTCGACTGGTGGTAAACTCTTGACGACACGACGTCGCGGTCAGCAGATACAGGCCCCAGCTGACGCGCGATTACCAGATCTTTGAGTGTTTGTAGCAGTCCATGGGTCAGGCTGCACTTCAGTCGACGCTATAAACCGCAAGAAGGACTGGTGTAGTCGTAGTGTTCGCCCTCGCGCCATTGTTCGATCCGTGCTACCCAGCAGCTAGCCTGCAGTATGATCCAGTTGAAGTGCACGCTTCAGTCTACAGTATGCTGTGGTCCCACCTCCCTGAATGTAGGTTCATCACAGTGTATCGCTCATTCAATTCAGAAGGACGCCGAGCTAGCCCGCAGATACACTATCTGGTTCTTTTGTCAGGCACGACTCCAGTCAACTCCAAGAAGCGTATCCGAACAACGAACAACCCAGTGCAAAGTTACGTAAAGGTCGTCTCAGTCGAACAGCAAGAATCTAGCTGTCAACACCATCCGTCCCGAATGTCGTACTTCAATGTCAACAAAAGCTGAGTTACCAGTTGTTCGAGCTGCATCGTCGTGCCTCGAACGAAAGCAAATGTTGCTACAGCTGTAAGCAGTTGCGGCATCCGTCTAGACATTACGTTAGTATCACCTGTAAAAACAAACATAGTCATTGACCAATCTTGTCCCTATGACCGCTTCGGACGGCATCGTGAAAACTCCGCTGCGCTGCCACTTCATCTTCATTGATCAATTGTCTCTCGGGTAACAAACCGAAGACATCTCAACTCGCTTCGCTCCATTGCTCTCACAATGTTCCGCTGCATTGCATCACTGACGACGTCAGGAGTGCTCCTTTTTGCGGCTGCCACCGCCACCTTCTTTCCCGATGGATCGTGGCCCGCCAGCAAGGGTGCTGTGAAGTACTCGAGGCCTTACACGGTCAAGGCTGGCGAGCTGTTTGACGGCAAGATGAAGACATACGAGCGCTCAAACGTCATGTGCTCGGGTGGTGAGGGCCAAGGAAACACGGCTGTCTTTATCGTGGAGGCTGGTGGTGCATTGAAGAATGCCATCATTGGCAAGAACCAGAAGCAGGGTGTGCAGTGCAACAACAATGACTGTGTCCTTGAGAACGTCTGGTGGAACGACGTGTGCGAAGTAGCGATGATCGTCCGAAGCGGAACTGCGTCGAGCGTATCGAAACTAATCGGTGGTGGTGCCAGGTATGCCACGGACAAGGTCGTTCAGCACAATGGCCGCGGCAAGGTTGAGATCATGGGCTTCTACGCCGAGGACATCAGCAATCTTTACCGCTCGTGTGGTACGTGTGGTAAGATGACTCGTCAAGTGACGGTGACCAACGTGTACATTGTGAACCCAACCAACGCGGTTGTGACGGTGAACAAGAATTGGGGCGACCGTGCTATGCTGAGGAACGTCCAGATCAAGTCGAGTCAAAAGGCCGCTGTGAAGGTGTGTCAGTGGATGGAGGGCAACGTCAATGGAGGGGGCAAGAAGGTGGGTCACGGCCCTTTGAATTCGCTCTGCCAGTACGCGGCAAGTGATGTGCTTATCAACAAGGGCGCGCCCCGTACCACGCAGGTTTCGGTCAACTCGGACAGTTCGGACGATGTTTCGCAGACACCGTTGCAGGAATCCGTTGAGGACTCGAAAAGCGCCACGCCGTCTCTCCGAAAGACTGGCAAGAAATCGGGCGTTGGCAAGACACAGACATCTTCAGCGAAGGCTCCCACCTCCGGAGGTAACAACGTCAAGCGTCCTGGTACTACCAAATCGACGGGATCAGTTCCGGACGGTTCGTGGCCTGCCAGCAAGGGTGCCGTCCTGTACAGCACACCGTATGTGATCAAGGCCGGCCAGGTGTTTGATGGTCAGATGAAGACGTACGAGCGCTCGAACGTCAAGTGCTCGGGTGGAGAGGGCCAGAAGGACACAGCCGTATTCCTCGTCGAGGCTGGTGGTACATTGAAGAATGCCATCATTGGTAAGAACCAGAAAGAGGGGGTGCATTGCGACGACCATGACTGCACGATTGAGAACGTGTGGTGGGACGACGTGTGCGAGGACGCGCTGAGCATCAAGGGCGGAAGTGCGTCCAGTGTGACCACCGTCACCAACTGCGGAGCACGCCACGCAGAAGACAAGGTCATTCAGCACAATGGCCCTGGAACGGTCAAGATCAACGGTTTCTTTGCACAGGAATTCGGCAAGCTCTACCGCTCGTGTGGCACGTGCGGCAACATTCCTCGCAAGGTCACGATAGAGAATGTGTACGCGATCAACCCTTTGGTGAGCGTCATCACAGTGAACAAGAACTACAACGACCAGGCCATACTGAAAAACATCCATGTGAAGTCCAGCAACTCGAACGTCAAGGTGTGTGAGTGGTCACAGGGCGGTGGCAAGCCATCCAGTGTGGGTAATGGTCCGTCGGGCAAACTCTGCCAGTACACGACGAGCGACGTGTACATCAACAAGAGCTAAAGCCTGTGACCACATTCCTCAGTACTGTCGAGAGGGGTACGGAAGCGAAATTTGTTTTTTTGTAGCGTATGGGTAGCGTAAAGTCATCAGAATCAATGTTATGTTCAGCAAGAACGTGTTCCACTGTATGGGTTCGTTACAGCGTCATGTCAAACAAGGGCTGAGAATTGCAAGGCTTGATGCGGTTTTTGCTGCTGCCATGCCAAGGGTCCTTTTCGTGAGATGTGTTCCTTTTCGTGAGATGGGTTCGATGCAGTGTCGATCGTACACATGTGTGGTGACGCGACATTTGTCGTACAAACCGTATTGTGGTCTGGCATGGTTGTGGTGTTTGGGCTGCATTTTGTAAAAAGTGGGGTGGATTCTACAATACCCTTTATGAAATGATCGCTCCAGCGTACAATGTTCGTAAATAGCACCAGGTTGCGGTTACGGTAACATTACTGTTAGGAACATGACGCTATCGTTAGGAACACAAGCGTTCCGGTAAGGATATAAAAACAATGTCGTGACACAGATGCGCGCCGTTGGACCGAATGTAATGCTAGTAGATAAGTGACAGCATTTGAGTGACCAATAGGCTCGTTGAAGTAAAACCCAACGGATGCCAGTCACCGCATTATCGCGACAAAAAGCTCACATGTCATCAAGATTAGAAACCGAATAGCAGGTGAATGACAACGGCAGGAGGCAATGTATATATAAACTGGAGACATGAGTGTCGATACAGGCAGGATACACAAAGGCTAATTAAAATTGAAGACGACAGAAATGCGAAAGAATAAAGATGCTCTACCTTCTTTGGTCGCGCGGATGTCTGGATTGAATCTGTCTCTTTCTAGTAGTCGACTTTACTTTTGGTGGTAATGTGGTATAATTGCATACCGTTCTTGGCATCGAATTTTAAAGGATTAAGCCGTCGAATGCATCCACTCTGATAGTCCGTGACGACCACTTTACAAGGACAGCAAGTGCAATAAATTTCTGATCTTCTTTTTCTGCTCCATCTCATTATTTGTATCTATTCCGTAAACTCTTTCGCGATCGTACTAAACCGTATTTTCGCTGTCCTATGAGCTGCTTGTAGAATCTCTTTGTGATAATTTAATATTCTCTGTTAGCGACAAAGTCATAAGTGGCTTTCCGCATGTCATCCTTTGATGTCACATGTCAACGACAAAGTCATAAGTGGCTTTCCGCATGTCATCCTTTGATGTCAAAAATTTAGAGCAAGGCAAACAGGGTGTGAAGAGAACAATTATGTTGCTGAGGCCCCACGGCATTAAAAACTTCTGAGACTTTCGATCTGGTGGAGAACATGACTGAACAATACTAATTGTAGGCATAGAATACATGACACTGGAGAACTGCAACATCTGAGTATACATTCGCCATTTCTTACCAGGAAAAATGTGAATGAGAACCACAACCTGCGGCTCAACTTCTGCTCCTCGCCTTCGTTCCGCCTCAGTCACCAACAGCAAGCATCAATCAATCCAACGTATCCATTTGGACACTCCGACTGGCATTTTTGTCCTCGTATGTACCAAAAAACTCTCTTAGCAGTCCGGTGACTGAATTTCCTGGGATATAGGGCAGGGATCACATCATGTCATCTCTTCGTCTTTGTGAACCTTCTTGCAACCGGTGTCGCATTCCAACTAATACGATGGGCTTGCTCGTTTACTTTAACTCTTAACCTCTTATTGGATACTCTTCTTCGGTGAGCTAGGGTTGATTAATCTCATGTTCTTGGATGTGACCGAGGAGCTGTGCATCGACACGGAATTCCGAACACATCGTGCGATCCCTAACCCCAGCACCACTTCCCGCACTAGCTTAGTGTCCGCAATGCCGATCACCTTTAAGCCATCGTTTTGGCTCTTCAAATCTTCCGTAGTAGTTAGTATGATAAAATGTGTAGCGTTCTTTAATGTGCTACTGAAGTGATTGACATTATTTGCAACCAAGACCTCGGTAGTACAAGTAGCGACCGAGCGAAGCACGGCGGTAGTTACATGGCTTGTACATGTAGACGTCCCTAAGATTGTCGCTATCCGTTGCTATGAAGATAAAAAAGGTAGTGGTAGCGCTTGTATGCCGATATAATGCCGGTATCTATCGGCAAGAGTTGATCGTCGTTTTCGGTAGAAAGGGCTAAACCTCGAAGGTGACACACTTCCGGTCATTCGTGACACGGGACCAAGCATGTCATTTACAAGGAGACACTGCCGACCCACTGCGTATCTACTGCTTTCACAAAGGAAGAGGGGCAGACGTGTCCAACACGTCGGAATCCTGCCAAGCCTATTCGGGAATACGTCACTAAAGTACGGTAGGAAGTAGTCTATAGGTCCGTAGTAACCTTCACGTTGGTTTTTTGTCCTGTTCTGCGTGTTTTGGCTACTTGGAGTGATTACGTTCCTTCTGTTTGCTATCGTCCGGTTCTTGATCGATTTGACTAATTTCACCTTGTGTAAATTACTACGACAATGCGCGCCACAACAATGCGCGGACCTGTAAATCCGCTAGGTCATAAAATCATTCCTCGATTAAACCCATAACGGACCGAAGGGCTTATCAGGGAGCGCTGTACATTAGGAACCCGTCTTGCAGCTTCCCTTCCGCACATCCCGCATCCCGTCATAAGCAAAATGGGATGCGGGTATAAACATGACCATTCCATGCGTCCCGGGCATCCCGCATTTAATCATTTCTGATTTATGCACAATGTGTAGATTCTTCTAATTTTGTGTCCATATAATTAATGCGTGATTTATAAAACGTTATTTGCAGGAGTCCTTTTTTATGTATAAAAAATAGGCTTCATCATTGATGATGAAGACATCATTTGATCTTCCTGCCAAAGCTACCATCAAGGCACTTAAAAATGATTGAAATGCTAATCAAGGTTCCATTTAAGACGACCCGACGGACATTGTGAATCTTCCAGGGGCCCGCGACTTTGATTTTTGTGACAACATTTTTCTTTTTGTAACATTTCAGATGGACGTTTCCAGACTAAACTTGTTGCGCTTTCAGCTGATATAATTAATAATTACTTTTGGTCATTTTGATATATTTTACTATCCACTAGACCTAGGGATCGCTTTCGACCGATTGTGTAGCTTCAGATTACCACCAAGATAATCTAGCAAGGCGCGCTACCCGTTAGATCTCAACTACAGTGATGTCCATGCGTTCAAATAATAATTGTAAAATCGTTGGCATTACGTCTTAGATAAGCCCTGCTTGCGAGAGTACGCCCTCAGAGGCACCGATTGAAACCTTGAAAAACAGGTCTTTTGCCTCTATACCCGTTGAAGTAGGTTCCCTTTAAACGCACTGAGGTTGATAATCCCTTTCATGCCATTGTAATCATTATATGTTACCCTTAGCGCATGCGGAGGCGCTCGAGTGTATGCAGAATGGACTTTTCAACTTTTGTAAGGGTCTGCTCAATGATCTCGTACCACAGTGTCCCGCGGAGTATTTCGTCCTGTGTGGAACAGGACGCGGGATCAATCCCATCCCATCCCGCGCGGGACAAAACCGTACATGACATGTCAACAACACAGCTACCACAAGAACGAAAGAGCGTAATCCATATCATCCGAATCCGGCATCTCGGTGCTGATTTGTAGCAGCTGTTTTCGGTGTTGTCGACTGGTGGTAAACTCTTGACTACACGACGTCGCGGTAGGCAGATACAGGCCCAGCTGACTCGCGATTACCAGATCTTCAAGTGTTTGTAGCAGTCCCTGGGTCAGGCTGCACTTTAGTCGACGCTAGAGAATGCAAGAAGGACCGGTGTAGCCGTAGTGTTCGCCCTCGCGTCATTGCTGGATCCGTGCTACCCAGCAGCTAGCCTGCAATTGTGATCCAGTGAAAGTGCACATTTCAACCTACTGCATGGTGTGACTCCACTTTTGTGGATGTGTATCGGTCAGTACCTTTTGCTAGCTATTTAATTGTGTAAAAATGAGCTGCACCAGCTCACCGACCTCATTTCGATCATTCTCCCTTCTCACTAGTACAGGTTCTTGTTGACCTTTACCGCAAACTCCTATCTACCTAGTCAATTATACGCCTAAGAAATTTGGTGCATTGTTACTTGACGCATTCGAGGAACAATTAATGTAAAAAAAAATTTTTGGTAGGAGTCACACATTCGGCGCTTCGACAGAGCCAGTGGATGTGCGCGCCTCACATAAATGGATGCGATTCTACTATAAATTGACGAAACAGACCGAAGATGTGGTTAAGGCGTGATCCCTGGGACGACAAGGATCACCTATATTTGATGTAGACCCAAATACACCCCACCCTCTCCTTACAAAAACTTGTTTGAGCTCTAACATCAAGAAAATCTTTCAAGATGGCGACCGTAAGTCTTTAGTCTGTTTCTAAATGTGAAGCGCGCGAGAAACCCTAAATTACCTGCGAGGCCTTGTTAATGAGAGTGTCAAGGACCTCTACACAAGCAAGACCCGTCTGCTGATGAAGCGCTTTTCCATGTTCGACCATATGAGAGACCGTGATCTCCGTGGAAAGATCCGGTAGGACCACGACATCTAGTTTTGATGAAACGTCCGCGTTCAAGTTTCTGGTAATGACATTATCTGCTGTGGGCTGCGTTGTCTCGGGCGTAACGTCTGGTTATATCACAAAAGAGTCGCCTTACCAACTTTGCACCATATATTTTTGTAGCTCAGACGACAGATGGAAAGGTGAATTCAGAGCTAGCAATAATGTTAGACGACTTCATCCTGCTACGGCCCCCTGGTTCATTACCGACGGCTTCCTCTTGTAAGTAGCCAACAGCCACCTGATTTACCAACCGTCGCCACGTCCAACATAGGTATATACGCTGGTAAGCGATATTTCGTACCTAGACGGGTACTAGTTGTACGCCGGTGAAGTCTGCTAGATAGTTCTAGATCAGTCCGTACAATAGGTTGTTCTAGGATGTTCGATGCGTAGGGAAGCGTGTGGCAGCG